TGTGGGACCATCTGGCAACACTGGGCGTAACGTTTTAAGCCTCACGAGGTTTTATACTATAGACGCTTTACAGCAGCTGTGCATGGGCGCCGCCATAAATGACCTTCAGTTTTTGTTCCCTCTTATTCCGTTCGCTTCACTTCATCATTGCTACAGCAGGAAAGGTTATTGCCATTTTAGATGCTACTGTGTACTTGTGCCCAGCATAGGCCCTTGTGAAGACCCGTCAACGCTTGCTTCAGTGGCTCGGCATCTCGGTAAGACAAGAGAAGGGCGGCTATGGCGGCTCAATCTGGCGCGTGTGTAAAGCGTCTATATAGTGAAGTCCGTGTTGTCCGTGTTGTCCTTCTTTTATTATTTTTAATATTTATAACGCAATTTTTGCGGGTCGTATTGCGGTGTTCTTCTACTAGAAGTACCTTTAAGCCGGGGTCACACTGCTTATACATTATGCAAAAAACCATCTGCAGCTATCACTCACCACGATATCCGTGGTTCAAAAGCCACGTGCCAAGTGTCTCCTTGAACTCGTTGCCTTGCGGCATTCGAAGTTCAGATCTCGTGGTGGCTCGCGTTTGAATCTGTTTGCAGACTGTCTTTTGTAGGATGTACGTACAAGCAGCGTGACCCCAGCTTTGGGGAAAAACGTATGGCGGTGAGGTACAACCACCTCGCAATGATTTCGCCATATTTTTTTATAAACTTCGTGATAATTGTAGGTTCTGATTGAAAAGGTTGGGAAAAGGCTGGACAAGAATGATTTTCGTCATTCTTGTCCAGCTCGCTTGCACCTTTGCATTTAATTGCATTATAATTATGACATTGCTGTGTTTTTTTCTTTTTGTGACTGATTTTTTTTTTTTTGACTAATTTAGAACAGTTTTTCTTTTGACTATTTTCGGGCTACTTTTCTGGATCGACATTTGGCTATTTTTGGGTTGAAATTAAAATTGGCGTTGAAATTTGGCGGGTAAGAGTACAATCAGCCGAGTGCAGCTGTAGCCTCCACCGTGGTAAGGAGAAACTAGCGCCACAAGTCGCAAGTGGCAGAAAGTACGGCGTGAGACTGAAAAAAGTAAATCAGTCAGTCAGTCAAATGGGCCAAAACTTTTTTAAAACAGGGCGGGCATTTGTAGGAGGAGTGCCTCTGGTATCGTGAATAAAATAAAATCAAATAAAATATTGGCAGACCGCCAGATGGCGCCACCAATGTCGTTGGCGTGCGCAGGCGCGGCAGGCGCCCTCCGGCTATGCTCCGGCTCTCCTCCTCCCCCTCCCTCTCTCTCCCTCCCGCTCCTTTTTTTTTTCGGTTTGTTTTAGTTAGTTAGTTGGCGGTACCTAACCCCTTTTGAGACAGGGGGGTCAGCAAAAGTTCAAATTGCCGACACAGGTAAAAGCTTTAGTTCTTGTTTTGTTTTAGCTTTTCCCACTTTTGGCACACTTTCACTGGTTGGATGGGAATGGGAGAGACGTAGTCTCTCCCATTCAACGAGAATGCGCTTGGTGGCTAGTGAACCGTGGGCTCCTTCCCCGAATCCCAGCATTTCGGGAATCCTCTCTTCGCTGGTCGCCCAGGGCGGTCGACAGTGGTCTAGGGCAGGGCACCACAGCAGCACGTGGAGGACGTCCTCGCTTGACTGCCCGCACAGATGACAGGCTCCTCGTTTGCTCGATCGGTGTCGCGCTGGCCGCTGGCCCGCTGTACCTAGCCCGCTTAGGGAGGCTCAAGTGAGGGTGGGCACAACTCAAAACCTGGAGAGCGTTTGCAATTCAATGGCGGCGCCTGAGGGAGAGGATTCGGGAGAGGATATGCCCCAATGTTGCCTGCACGAGAGCAGACGCCCGCTTTGTTGCTCCATGCGCCTTTCCTCCTCTCGCCTCCCATTGCGAGCAACGAACGCCTTGGCGCAGCCTCTCTCGCTTCCTCCTCGCTCCGGGTTGCCAGACAAGCAGCAACGTCCAAGATGGCGGAATTTACCATTTTTCGCGTTAAAAAAATACTTAACCTATCGCAACAAAACTGGTGGCTATGGAAAAGTAATCATTTATACCTTGCGTAAATTATTCAAGCACCTTAATGGGCTCTTATGACTTGAGTTAGGAAATAAAACGACCCTTTGCCCCATAGACTCCCAGCAAAATTTAGCAATTAAATGGCGTCCATGTCCCGTGATCCCCGATCTAGCAGTTGCACCCACCCTCACTTGAGCCTCCCTAGCCCGCTGCGAGCGGCCAGCGCGGCACCGGTCGAGCAGACGAGCCGCGCGCGCTACACTTCGCAACAAAAGCGCTTCGCGAGATATTAATTACCAGTGCAATAAAACAAAAACAGCACGTTCATTGAAATGTATATTTTATTGAACACCATTCAAATTAGTTGCAGTATTCCAAGCACGTATTTACAAACTCCGTCGGCAGTCCACCGCCCCTTAAGCGGAACCAAGAACTGTAGTAGGCAGTAAACGTTATCAAATATGTAAAAACCAAATTAACTACTTTAATGTACAAACTAACAGAACAGCACTTATAATCGAATTATCTAAATGCGTCTATAAACAACTCCTACAAACAAAAATGCTGAATACCCAAACAAACTAATCAACTTCGATATAAAGCAGGCTGGCATTTTAATTTAATTAACGCAGGGTTGCAGGCGAGCTCCATAAGAATAAACGATAAATAAACCATAAACAAACTCGCTAATTGGCAACGCAAAGAAGAAAAAAAAATATTCTGAAGTGACTGACTGTGGCCGCTTTTAGGTACTCTATCCTAGAAGCTGTCAAATTAACTAAAGACTCTGACAGCAACTCACTTGGAGGAACCAGTCCTCGCAGCAACGGATTCGTAACAAGAACGGTGAGGCACGTGTTTTTCCGCAAACGAATCTTCCTACATTTTGCAAACGCGGTTGCACCGGCGTGCTTGCTGCACAGACGACACGGACGCAGCTTGCTCACCGGCAGGCTTCCAAAGTCCTGGCGCTTTGCATACGCAATCCATTTCGATGCTGTAATGGAAAGATTGAGAGATCATATATTTCAATGCTTCCAGTTTCGAACGTTGACAAAAAAGTTTGATATAAAGGCTCACCCGCCGTTTGTTGGAAACCGGAAGAATAAGCACTCCGAGTTCTTTTGAAGAACTGTTACTCCACTTGGCCGCGCAGTAGACTCCGTAATACGCCGTCATGAGGCACGCAACCCACTCGGCAGAATCTCTGTCAAACTAGAGACGTCTCTAATCCCTCTAATCATTTTCTGAGCGCAGACGCGCAGCGGGAGGCACTCACTTGATCGAATGACGTTTTAGCGAACGCCCACGTTTCATCGAACGACACTTTAGCGAATAGTCGGACGCCGCGAAGCGGCGTTTTCGGGTGGGCCAAGTGAGTTCATATTTTTGTAATGAGTTGCCGTAGACTGTCGCCGCGAAGCGGCGTAAAGCGCAGCGCGACGGATGGGTTAACGCGGGCCCCCGTTATTCGCTAAAACGACCATTCGCTCAAATGTCGCCTTTCGCTAAAATGTCATTCGCTCTTCTGATATCGACCCAGCTCCGTACTCCGTAAAATCTACACTTTCGATTTCAACACGCGCGGAACGGTTTGAAAGCTTGGAGCACTGATCTCTATTTGGAGTGACTAGAGCACTATATAGCTCCTACGGAGCAGAGTAGCGCAATCCTTTGAACCCCGTGTTTTGCCGACAACATGGCCGACAGAGCGGCTCGGTGCGAGTCACGTGGTACTCAGGGTTCCAGGAGGCGACCCGCCCTATGGGAGAATACATGGAGATCGACATAACGCGGCTGATTAAAAAACTAACGGCGAGTTCACATTTTTCAAAACTAGCCTGTCGTGAAGTTAGTAAAGCGCTAAACACTTTATCAAAGTTTTAATAATATCGGATGCGTGTGCAAATTTTGAGAACGCAATTTCCAAGGCAATGGCGTTTGGAGCAGACGATTTTTGCTCGCAGCGGAGATGGGCTTTTCGGGTTGGCCGGAGCGGGTCACGTGAATGGTGTGACGTCGCCGTGTCGTCTGCTGCATGACGCCGCTGAGGCAATTTTTTAAAAAAAGTTACGTCCTTGTGTGGCACAAAACTTATCGCATATTATTCTAAAATGTTTCATTATTATGTCAAAAATGGTTTCCATTCCGCACATCCACACAAAACTGAAGAAACAACGATTTTCTCACGTTCTCCATGCATTTCTGACCGCAGTTGGAACCCTCCGGGCGTTCGCCGCTAGTCGCCGAGAGACGGCGTTCTAGATTGCGCTACTCTGCTCCGAAGGAGCTATACACGTTTGCAAGTCCAGCTTCAGGGCGCTGCCATCTTGCTTGGCTGGGGTGCGCTTGGACGAGACATAATCCGATTACAAAGCCTTGCTAAGGCGTCGTAATAGGATTATGGCCGCGCCCAAGAGCGCACCCCACTGAGGAAGATGGCGGCGCCCTGAGACCGGACTTGCAAACGTGTATATACACGTTTGCAAGTCCGGTCTCGGGGCGCCGCCATCTTCCTTAGTGGGGTGCGCTCTCGGGAGCGGCCATAATCCGATTACGACGCATTAGCAAGGCTTCGTAATCGGATTATGACTGGTCCAAGCGCACCCCAGACAGGCAAGATGGCAGCGCCCTGAAGCCCGGCTTGCAAACGTGTATAGTGCTCTAGGAGTGACGAGCTCAAGCAAAAAGAGAAGACAAAAACGGTCGTTTGCCCTCACACTGGAGGTTGGTGATTGGTCGGAAGAGCCCAGAGTGCTTCGGTTTTGGTAGCGAAGATCCTATTCACGACGCCAGCGCTCAAAAGTACAGCGGCGAAACAGTCTGGCGTGAGACTGTTGGCTAGACCAACGAATCTGCTCTTCGGGTGGACGTACGAGAGAGAAGCCAGCGACGCGGCGCCCCAATCGGCCCGACTGGGAACTCCGTTAGCTGCATTCGGCTGGTACAATCACCTGGCAACCCTGGGCACTGCCTTTCCCACATTACCCATTTCGCGCCTTCTTTCTTCTACTGCGGCTTCCCGCGCTTTTTCCATTTCACCGCTCTTCCATTTCGCGCCTTTGTGACCGCGGCTACGGCTGTCGCGCTAAAAATTATCAAGCACTTCAAGATTCCTATCATCAGCAGTTGTTCAACTGGTGTATGGACGATCGACGACGAGCGTGAGCGACGTAAGTACGGTTTTATTATTTATTGCGCTGCCTATGAATCGAGATCTGTGAGGCCTGTTTTCGAGCTCGTAGTTTTCGTCTTTACTCCGGAGTTGTCGCACGGTGATCAGCCACGGCCCCTCCCGAGTCCCATTAGAGCGACAAACAGAAACAAACGACAACAACAAGCTTCAACAAACCGGAGTCTTTCCAACCTGTTTACAGGTTGGAAACAAATATTTTTTTTCTTCGCATATACGTTATTGTCTTGTTGCGCGGACGCTGCTGTCAATAAGTACTTTGCTCTTCTTTTTTTTTGTCTAGTAAGTTGTACAATGACAGCAGACTTCACTAAATTCTGTGATATTAAAAAGTGTTAAGGCAAGAACTAAGAGACCAAGAGACTTAGTGCTTTCGAGAGAGAAATGCGAAAGAGCTCGGAGAGATTAAAGGTCAGTCTTGAAAGTTTCAACAAAGATTTTCGAGGAAATGAGAATTAAGTGGGAAAAAAAAAAAAAAAAAAAAAAAAAGATCAATTTGTAGTGGCCAGGTCTCCTCTAGGTACGATACCTTAAATAGTGCCCCAACACTCTAACAACTTTTTTCACAGGCTAACTTTTAAAGTGATTGTATAGGACTTTTCGACATGGATGCTCAGTATTGTCTGCTACAAATTGGGAATCTCTGCTCTAAAACTCGTTGTTTTCCGCTACAAGAGCTGCTCGAAGTCACCATTTGTCAGTTGCACCACATAATGTTTGATTTCGGTTGCAGTCTTATTCAGGTTCAGTTAAACATAAGAACTTGGCTCTGGTTTTTGGTTCAGTTCGACGCCCTGGGTAACCGCTACATGCTAACTGGAGTAATTGCGCTTGCTTATAACAGCCGCATCTCTCGGCGCCAAGAAAGACAACATGTCCGTCTAAAACTATTCAGTTTTGGTTGCTTCACTGAAGGCACGTCATTTTCATCCTCAACAGAGCTTACACCAGTGAGTCAATGGAGCCATCAGACACCTCCAGTGCAATGATGCTGTTTTAAGGGCCGCTTACCACGCCCTAACGAATTGCTTCATTAACTCGTAGCATTAAATTAAACTCAACACAGCTTGCATAAGAATCGAGCCCATTCCATTCCCACTCCATTCCATATAAAAGACATCTAATTCCATTCCCGTTCCATTCCCCCGTGCTGCCGCCATTCCCATTCCATTGCATGGTCATGAAAGTGCGGAATGGTTTTGGAAACATTCCAGTTCTGGAGTGGCAACTCCGCATTACTGGTAGGGCAGTGATGGCCACAACAATTTGTAGTGTGCTGAGAATGACGCTGCTATGTTGCTGTGCAGGGATCCAGAGGGAACGAACCCAAGTCCGGTAGACCGTAAACAATGGTTTTTTTTCCATCCTTCGACGACGCTGAGAGGAACCTGAACGCCATGCTGAAGCCTCAACTCCACAAGGTCCATACATCGCTCAAGCTGAACAGCGAAGTCACCGCCACCAATGTTGACATTCTGAATACCCTGTTATATGACATCCGCATTAAGATAAAGCTGGAGGATCCTCTCTTCCGTCGGCTTTTTAAGAGGTGAGGAAAATGCTTTAGGGAGGCAGTGGAACTGAACAATTTCATAAGATTTAGAACCAACAAATATGTAAGAATAAAGTGTCTGCTTTCTCGTGTTGAGAAGGCAGGCGCTTTTTCTTTAGGACAAAAGGCTCGTAAATTGCGAAGATTTTTTTATTGAAAGAATATGCGAGACGGATGGAACTTCTTGCCATAAAACACTGTTTCTCCTTGAATAAGAAGGACTCGGGTTCCCATACCCTTGCAAACGTTCCATGCGTTATTGAGGACCCTTCAAGTTTTCTTTCTTTTAAACATTTCACAGTTTATTTTTTTTGCCAAAAAAATATTTTTTATTTGTTGGATTTTGTTTCCCAAGGGGTAGGACAAACGAAGAGCCAATTTTAAGGTTTCTTATATCTTATTTAACGAGAGCTCATTCAGTGCTCGCAAGCTGTTCAAGTTGAGAAGCACTGAATGTGAATATTGAGGGGGAAATGTCGCCTTTCTTTTATTCGGTTTCACTTTGGCATGCCCACTTCTGCAATCTTAGATTCTGAACCGGAGGTACTTCACAGAGCTTCTTCATCGGCTGATAATCTCTCATCATCTGAATCTAATTCTGAGAAGTGTGAAAAATCTAACTCTGAATAGACGGCGCTAGGATTGCCACTTTTATCCGTGCAGTTGACATAAGAAGGGACAATTACGGGCATATCAAGTGTGCGAATTATCTATTTTTGAAACTATAAATAGCCCCAGCAAAGTGAAACACAACGCAAATTATTTACTCGCATAATGAACACACTCCCCACAATGGGCATCAATGTTTGGACTTTTTCTCGCGTAATAAATGCACTTTTAATTTACGGCTCCGCGAGTCTTGAAGCAAATGTTCTTTTGTCGCCAAGCAGCCAGGCCAAGTCAAGCCAAGCCGCTCTCGTAATGGCTGCAGTTGCGTGGTTGCGGACTACCACCACGAAAAGGAGCGGTGCGCACGCCTAGCGAAGTTGGGGTCAAGGAATTGACAAGCCCTAGATATGTTTGGTCCATCGGATTCATTGATGTCAACAGACACGCCGTCGTCTGTGATCCGCTTTCAGACAGTGATATCGTGAAAGCGGTTAGGCCTAAAAACTGTCGCACCGCTCTCCAAGCTGAGTGTGCTTCGTAGAGCACTTTTTCTTCGGATAAAGGCACACCATACGTGCCCTAAAAAAGGTTTGCAGTTTATAGAGCATGGTTACTGTGGTGTGTCCACAACCAGCCATGGGTGCGCCTCTGTCAGTGGAGACGTGCCAAATACCTCGCCATGTCATATTGGCACTTAAAATGACATTTGCGCAAAGTGTGTAAATGCAAAACTTTTCCCCCGCATAATGAACGCACCCTCAAAATATTTGTAGATTTTTCGGAAAAAAGAAGTGTGTTCATTATGCGAATAATTACAATAATTTATAATTCCCCGGAGATATAAAAAAAAAAGCAGCACCTCTTGAAATGCACGCAGTATGGTGTTCGTGCAGGAAATTTTAAATGTGAAATTGCCGCCGTCCACAAACAGCAACAACCGTCAAAGGATTAAAAACAAGGTGGAACCATTGAATGAGGGCACACTAACATTTGAGGACACTTAAATTTCTACGTGCTTTTTCCGAGGCTCGAATACACCGGAAGCTACTACGACGGGCTGCGGACCAAAATGGCAGACGAGTTTGACATTAACCTTGTACTGGACCTACCTTTCAGGAAGGACGAATTCACCGTAAGTTTTGCCGCTGCACCGGTCTCTCTGTCTTAGTGCTTAACATAGCGCTCTGCCAACCATTGCTTATTAAGAATTAATTCTTATGGTATGAGACTAAAGCAGAAGGGGTGAAGTCATTTGCGGTCACAAGCAATAAAACAGATAGTTTTTTTTTTTTTTTTCATATATAAATATTACCATTACTTACAAGTATGTTTATGGAGTCGACATATAAACTATCTGCCTCTCCTTTGACAGGTTTGTTTTCTAATGTGCAGTTAGACATTCAACATACACTAATATTTAACCCTTTGTCTCACACTTTTGCACCTGGTTGCAGAAAGAAACAACAAGGCGGCTGACAAAACAAGTGTCGGCCTCATTAGCTTCAATTGTCTGATTTTGTGTTCACAGCACGTCAGGTGTTGGGACCACAAAGAAGGCTAAACTCAACACAAGAAACAGGTTGCTGTTGAACGACCGAGTCGCCTTTTTCAAAGGCTGTTTTGCGATAGAAAAGGTGCACGAAAGGACCCAGTTAAAGTGCTAGCTATGTGCTTTTTAAAGGAAAGATAGCATACCGCAGGATACATACGAACATCGCTAGTCCCTCACCAGCCCTTCGGTATTGATTATGATTTAGTCGATGCCTTACGGAGTGAGAACGGTGGGCATGTCATTCGAATGCCCGACCTCCAGCACGCCTCATGCCTTCCGCATGGCTTTATCTGTGCGTGCGCGCTGCAAGTGCACAAGACTTTGAATCAAAGTGGCAATGCAGGCGAGTTGGTTCATCGTTACAAAATGGAATCAGCGCGCAAACAACGAAGACACAAGGAAGAGAAATTGCACGTGTGTTGGCTTTATCATCCACGCACAAAGAAAGGGCTCCTGCCCTTTGATTCCGCACACTCCAAGTTGGTTAAGAGGAGCATCGCGTCATCTTGTTTGCAGGCGGCCTTGGCAAAATCTTGCCCCCACACGTTGCAGGAGAGTTTTGAAAAGCAGATTGATCGGCTTAGCTCCGCGGGCTTCCCAGCGACAGTTCTGTTGGCGGTAGCAGAAAAGCTACTAAGAAAGGTAAAGACGGGACCCCAACAACCAAGAGACCGGCCAAATAGGAGACCGCTAGTAATCCCATATTTACACAAGGTATCCCACAATCTAAAAAAGATTGCGGGGCGCTATGATGTACCGGTTGTCTTGTCGGCGCCCTGCAAGATGCTGCAGCTATGCCCCAGAGTGGCGGACAGGGGAACGGGAAGGAATAGATGTTCCGTAAAGCACAGAAACAAGTACGTCGAGTGCGCGATGGGGGTAGTTTATAGGATCCCGTTAAGCTGTGGTCGAGTATACATCGGCCAGACTGGCCGATGTGTTAATGACCGAGCACGTGAACACGCGCTTTCGCTGCGATCAACCTCGGGCGGTCACTTGCCTTTACACTGCAGCACTTGCTCGTGCGAGCCAATATTTGATCGCATCACGATTTTGGGAAGAGGGGCTGATAAGACAGCACGCGAACTGCTCGAAGCATTTGAGATAGGAAAGGAAGGTGACCAATGCGTCAGCCAAACATCGATTTTTTTACTTAAGAGAGAGGTAGCTTTTTTGAGCACGTTTTGATGGGGTGATGATTTGGTGGTTTGTTTGTTTTCCTCGTTAGTTTCTTTTTCAATAAACGTTCAGTTGAAGTCCAGCGCTTGTCCTGTCAATTTCTCTTCCTTGTGTCTTCGTTGTTTGCGCGCTGATTCCATTTTGTAAAGACTTTGAAGCGTTGTCGAAGGTAGGAAGCACGCACTAGAGACAATACCATCAAAGCTCCTCCTTTCCTTTCTCATCTTGTCAGTGGCCGTAGCTTGTGGAACTATGCACCAAGTACGTCCTCTGAACGACATCAATCGCACCTTCCAGGTGTTGGACGGATGTCCCGGCTACGTCGGCTACGGAGTCAACCCGGCGGCCAAGGACAGGCTGATTCGGGAAGAGGACACAAAGTGGGTTCAGCTCTTGCTGAAGTGGATGGACGGCGAGAACAGGCTCCTTCCAGACAAGGTCAAGCGGTGGCTGCAGTCGGCGTTCGACCGTGTTCTCCGGACTTACGTCATTCCCTCTGGGTCCTGCTCGGCCGTGGATAAGGTGAGGGGTGTCCGCAGTAGCTGTGGTTGGGCCATCGGATTTCTCCAGCCGCGAGTCGGTTTTTCTATGTGGGTTTTGTTTTGCTTCAGAGCTCGAAATTTGGTTTTGATGCATCCAATTGACCCTTTTCACCTTTTCGAAATTCAGTCTAGCAACTTCGATCACTTTCATCGTCTCGGCGTATGCCAAACTAATGGCAGACTCATTGAGGCTGATGAAGAAAGAAGTTAAAGACACCACCAAGTTAAGGTATTGACATGCAAGACGTCAGTACAACACACTGCACAAATTAGATAGAATGGCCTTGTGAATGTTCATTTCGGAGTGTGGTTCAATCAATCACTCGGTACAAATTTGGCTTTGAATCCCTTTGATGGCGTAAGTTGAATCGAGGGGCTTATGGATCTTTCTTGGCACTGTTCAGTCCTTATGTTTACATCATCTGAACTGAAACAAGTCAATAGAGAATTATAAGGGGTTTGAAGAACCAACTCTCACCTGCCATTGACGTTCGAAAGGGCCAGTGCCTGATGAAATACAGTTTCATGACCACCATTAGTTTGTTGAAAGTGAAACTGTTTTCTTCTTCTAGTGCACCATCAACGAAATTGAATCTCACCCCGTGACTACGCACCCCGCACGTGACTGCAGCCCTCAAAAAGCCATGCGACGCTCGCACAGCATTGGATTGCCTTCAAAGTCTAGAGGCATTTATGTTTTGTTACATTTTATGGGCGGGATGTAGAGGTAAAAATTTGTGAGAGCGTAGTTACCACCTATTCAGATAAGGAAAAAGATATATCATCTTTGGCTTAAAGGCCGACGTACAACCTCGGTTTTCTTCAGGGAAGATAACCCTCTTAGCGCTCCCCTCTCCTAAGCTGCGACGGGGACCCAGGTTGGGGCGAGGTAGAACATGGAGAGGATATAAGAAAGGAGGTGTCGGGCAAAATTGGAAAGTGCGAAGTGTATGTCGGCCTTTAAGTGGCTTTTAAGATTCGAGGCTAACACACAAAGAAATGTGTACCATGTTTACTGCATAACCTATCGCCACACAAATACGCAGATACATAAAAACAACCAGGGAGAGGTACACGGCAAGTTTGAAATAAGCCGAGTGACAGTGTATTATTCTTTACCTTACGATGGATTGCATCGGAAGCTGTGAGCCATCTTGGCCAATCCAACCTGCGAACACGTCATGTGACCGCGTGCCCCGCTCGTTGCTGCGCCTTTCAAGGAAGTCGCATCACGCTTGCGTAGCATCACTCTTCATGATCCATCATAAGGGGAAACTGAGTATAGATGCGAGCATCTCTAGACTTCCTCTATTTCACCTTTGTTTGTCCTCTATTTCACCTTTGTCATGAAATAGCGTCTGCTATTTCATGAAGAAAGCAATTGACAACCCGTGCTTTATTTGTAGGTTTTAAGTCCCTCTGTTGCCGTACAAACGCTGAGCTATACAGTGTGTCAACAAAAGCTCAGAACAAACGCACCAGCGGCCCCCGAGATGTTTATCAACATCCGTGTGCGGGTGAAAAATTGACCATTTGTCGACAAAACTCTCTCAGCAGAAACCTCTGACTGCCAAATAAGCATCAGAGAAAGCTAAACATAGTGACTTTACCCGAGGCTTGGGCAGCATCATCATGTTTAACATTTACCTATGTCAGCTAACCTGCCCCGTCGTATTTCGTTCGAGAAAGCTCTCATTCTCGACGTCCTCACCAAGGCTAATATCTGATCCACTTGTAATGACGATCGAAATCGAAAGTCCCACGAAACGTTTTGCTGGATATTCCAACAGACTAGTTTTAAGCCGTACCCTTTCAGTGGTTCACGCATAATACCATGCTCAAACGGATCAAGCTTCTGCTCGGACAGCATCATCAGTTTTCTTCAGTGTAAACGGTTATAAGAATTGAAAGATCGCAACCAGCTGCTTTGTAGACAGCTGGGTACGGAAATTTGCGCCGTCTGTAACTATCTCTACAACAGCCGAGTTGCTTGAAGTCATCGCAACTATAAACTACAGGTTGCAGCGTTCAACGTTTGTAGATAAACATTGGTAGTGACTGCACTCTCACATTCCCACCCATCACTCCGAACAGAAAGGCGCTAGTTTCGGTTTGAGGTCGGTATCTTTTCTACAACATAGATGGCGGCAGCATCAGTCTTCTGCACTCGGTGCATTTGGCGAGTTCATTTGAGTCCAGTTCTCCATGCAATACTCTGTGACTGCGATGCATTCTGGGAGAGAACTCGAACAGTGCCAGTGCGTGTGAAACAAACTCGCTATAAAATTATAGACGAGTCTTGTTGAAACTAGCCGTCTCGCAGTTTATGTTGGCAACATTGACACCGGAACTCCGAAAATTGCTGCCACCAACGTTAGCTGCCGTCGCAACATGCTCAGCGTGCTTTTCTGAAGTCTGGGAGTCACTTCATCTGAAGATCTGAGTAGTGGAGCAAACGTGTGCCGCGGCCCCGCGCAGAGAACTTGGGAAGAAAGGCGAGCGAGCAGTGAGGGGTATGATGGAGCAAGATGCGAGCTGCCAGATCGTGATTGGGCTTTGAAGCGATTTGACAGTGATGTCATGAAGGTACCTTTGACGGCAGACTTGCTATTCTGAATAAGTCTTATAAATTTTACACAGAAAGGCTAGAGGTCGAAAAGGAAGATGACGAGAGGCAGAAGAGGAAGAACAGTGATGCGAGTATGAAGCGAGCTCGTCTTCGTGAAGAAGAGCGGCAACTTGAACAGCGCATCATCATCAAGCGGACTATGCTTGAACATGCGCAATCATTAATTAAATCAAGTCTGAAAAAAAAAAAAGGAGGTGGAGAAGATTGAGTTTGGACAGGTGCTGTTGCTAATGCGAAATTGGCTCAGAATCTCGAAAAAGCGAAGCGCAGTGTATCCGAGCGTAATTGACTAAGTCTGAATAGATTTATATGTACAAGGGCATTTATTATATCATTCTAGTCACTGAAGAATGAAAGACCATTTTTGTACCTCCATTTTTATTTTTCGGTACACCTTTCTATGCTGGGCAATGAATGCTATTTGTACCTATTTATATTTACCTCTTTGCAATTCGGTTTTATTTTGTGTCACACTGTCATGTGCAGTTTTGCTTCATATGTTTTCTGTAATTTGCACGTAATCTTGTGAAAAATATTTGCAACTAAAATGTTTATTGAAACTACCGTTAAGTTCACACGGAGTCACTCACATGCCATATTTTCTTTAGTTTTAAAAGCCAGGTGACATTTAGCCTTTATTTTAACATTCTTAAAACTTTTAGACTACTCCCAACCTGCTCCAAGACCTCGTTTTTGCTGCTCCCAGCCTGCTCCAAACTGTATTTTATTCTGCTCCAAAGATTGCTCCAAAGCTGCTTTGCCTAGTTCCATCGCTGTGATGGGATTGCTGTGCCAAACTGTGCCAAGGGGCTAACCCCGCTACATCCGGCTACATTTTGCCAAAATATGGGTAATCTGCACCAAGCATACGCCAAAGGACCACTTTTGGTCGCCTTTCAAGACCTAAACTAAACTGATTACCGTAATTGCGCATGCATAAGCTAGGTGCACAAGTGGCCGCCCGACACACAAAGTACCCTGCATGAATCGTTCATCCGGTGTTTCGCGCTCTCGTCGTCTCGTGGGTCTCGTCTACTGATCTCTATGATAATTGCTGGATCAGGCATCCCCGCTCAGAGCCGTATATGTAGAGAGTTTGCCATTCGTTGGGAAGTATAGGAGACAAATGAGGAGGCGTCATTGTCCGAAATGGGCTGGGCGTGCTCCAGGGCGTGCTCAGAAATTCGAATGCGACCAACCAGAGGCCGGAAATAATGCTCTGGCGGTGGTCGCGGGAAACAAACCTGATAAGTGCATCGGAGTAACTCTCGGTGGCTGAAAATATGGTACACGTGATGTTCCAGTCACGCTCATTCAAAATGATGGTGGAGGAGTGCGACTAGCAGAACGGTCGACATAATCCTTGCGCCGAGGGCCGGGAATCTGCCGTCCGAGCGGTCACACTCTGTCCGAGCAAAACAGGGTTCAGCGGTGCATTCGTTTCTTACATCTTTCTGCATGATCATGATTGAAACATCACATACACCCTATTTTCAACCACGAAGAGTTACTACACTACACTCTTACGCACTTATTAAAACCATATAGGAACATATACCTTTGATCAGAACTGTTTCTCGCTACCACCGCAAGGGGATTCTTTTCAGCTTCTGGTTGGTCAAGAGAGCATGCCAAGCCCTCTTTCCGAGTCTCGTGCTCGCTGTGACTCTCCCCGCTCCTCCCATTGACCAAACTCCCTGTATACACGGCTCTGTCCCCGCTTGGTCGCTGCAGCGCGAGTGAAGCATAGGAGTGAGGCCACCGGACGGGCATCTTACATGTCGAAAAATTGTGTTCTTAGAGTGTTGTAGATGCTGGCGGCAGTGTGCTGAAGATACGCTTTCCACTCGTTCGGTATCATTTGCCGAAGAAGTTCTTTAAGACCTTATTTAAGCCGTAAGACCTGCCATAGAGAACACGTGGAAATTTTTGCAAAAGCGCAGTGCCGCAGAAAAAAGGCGCAACTCGTCGAAAGCAAGTTGCGCCGGTCTCGCAACGTGAACAAAGCTTCCTTGGCACGCCAAAGCGCTACGTTTCTGTGCCTTCGCACACTTGGATGCCGAGTAAGATGTGACGCCATGTGGATATGTTTTACGTTTGCTTAATGTTGACGGAAATCTGCGATGTCAGGAACCAGTAAAACGGTGGCAAGTGGTTTTTCGAAATTGTTTGGCAATGCCTACAGAACTGTACACTTGCGGGATGTCTGAGCAGTAAAAGCACAAGCAGCGAGTTTCGTCACAACACATCACAGCACAACACAAAAAAGTAAACATTAGAGAAGAGTCTGTCTGGTTGGGGGAAATAATTATTAAAACACGATGGCCAACCAATCCTTAAAAGGGCCCCTGATTTAGGGATTGGTTGGTCGTCATATTTTAATAACACAAGATGCCCTTCGTTTGTCCAACACATAAAACTGTTTTTTTTTGTTTTTTTTGTTTTTTTTCTAAGATTATCTGTTTTAAAAGCCACTTTTCCTGCCCCAAAACACTGTTTTGGCTGCTCCAAAAGCCACTTTTGCTGCTCAAAAGCACTGTTTTGGCTGCTCCAACTGCAACTTTTGCTGCTGCAAAACATTGTTTTGGCTGCTCCAAAGGGTGCTCCAAAATGGCTTTGGACAATCACATCACTGCAATTTCTATAATGTGCAAAATGTGTCTTGGAAGCGTTGCGGAAGCTTGCCATCGGCACATGCTCGGAAGCTGCGAGCTGAGCTAAGGCTGCCGGTGAATACTACCTGTAGTCACAAATAAGGCAGATTAGAGACACGGCTAATTCGCGTTTCACAATGTAATGAGCACGCAGGAATTCGCTACAAACTCCAGTGTCGCGGGAAAGGATACCGCTGACTGCGGATGCATCAAAATCATCTTTCTCGGTGCGATAAACACTCGGAAACTGGCTGCAAACTCGCGTACCAACTGGAACCGATATCGCGCCCGCAGATTGCGGACAAAAAGAGTGGGAACCGTATTTGGGCTTTCAGATCACAGACAAAAGCGGGGGAACCATCCGCAAACTCGCTCGTCACAGATGCAGGAACCGCAGATCACAAGGTAGATGCAATTCCTGTGGGACATTGCGTGATGTCCTGCAGGAATCGAGAGGGTAGGCGATGTTAAGGTGTTCTTATGCTATGAATATTTAGCCAGAAAAACGGGGTGGGCAATCTCTCGTGGCACGGCGCCCTTAGGCTTGCTTTAGACAGGGCAACTTTCCCAGCAATTTCAGTTTTTCTGGCGAGTACTTCCCTAGCTTTCCCTAGTGTGACACCAATTGCTCGAATCACGTCCGGTTTGAAGCGGACCATCAACTCTGACAACTCTGAGACGTCTGAAGCAGCAGCAGCCATTGGGGATGCAATATTTTCACGTGACACCCCGTGCTCGTGATGATAACAACCAAAAAACACCTCGGGACTTTCCCAAAGCAACTTTCTTGATTTGCTCAGGTTTTACCTCAGGACTAAAAACTTGGTTCTGATTTGAAGCTGATCGTTTTTGGTAATAAGCTGTTTCAGAAAGATCAGTTAATATTGTCGATGCCCTTTAAAGTTTAAAACACTTTTGTAGTGTGTAACTGTGCGTCTCAATAGTGAAGAAAAACTAATGATGATAATGGCAAGTCGCAGCAATTGGTCGCTGCATGTGAATGCGGACGGCATATGTGTTGCTAGTGTTGTGACATCAGGTTGCTGGGAGAAATTGCCCTGTCTGAAGCGGGCCTTGTGGGATTTTTTGGTAGATTTCCGTGTTTTCGGAGTGTGCTTCTTTTTTCAAACTCTGGTGTTTTTTTTTAGGGTTTATTGTTGCTTCCAGAATCTGTGTTTTTCGGTGCTTATTATATGTGCCGGGCGAGAAATCGGGGTTTTATCGGGGCTAATGTTATAAAACGACTGGATATCTTTAAATTTGTGATCCCCCCCCCAGGGTCCACAGAACTTACGTCCGTGACCCAAATACTCGAAAAAACGTCAACCCGGTGCCGACAACAGGAGACGGTCTCAAAGGAAACAACAATCTGAAGGACAGAATCTATTACAGGTTTCTGTTGGGGGTCACGAAAACAATTCTACAGATTTCTTTCCCCCAAACCTGGGATTTCCCTATAAAAGGGCAGCTATGAATCAGGGTTTTTCGGTTTTCCCCCGATTTAAAACAAAAAAACTCCTTTCGGGGGCTATTTGTCTGGGTTTATTAGTATTTACCGTAAACACATAACCCTACTTATATAACATTGTAAAAGTTATTTCAAGCGCTTGGTGCAAGAAAGATATGTGAATACAGCTTGGATGTGTTCTGAAACCGATAGACAGCGCGCCAGTCTGTTCTCTGGTCGTAAGTGGTTGCACACGGTTTCAGCGTAGTCGGACGCAGTTGTATAAACCACCCTTCGATCCTGCAAAATCTTCATTGTATTTGTTTTTTTTGTTTTTTTTGCTTTTTTGTTATGGTTGAAGTTATGAGTGCAAGGCAAGTTAAATTTCCAGCTGGGACAGGCGCAACGTTTTAATTTCCGAGAGGAAGGTGGGATATTAAGCCATTGACGATTTTCCATTTCTGAAAAGAAAATTGAGGGAGAAAAGCTTTCTTATTCTTTTTTTTTTCTTTTTTTTCAGATACTTTCGAGCCAGCACGGCCCTGCCATAACACTTCATATCAAACTAAAAGATGGCATCACGATTAATGTGGACCTTGTGCCTGTAGTAGAATTTTGCGACCCTAGTTGGCCCAAAAGCATTCAGAAAAAAGATTGGATGGCTAAGATGTTACCAAAGGTGAGTGTTTCCAGAACATTTGGAGTTTAGCCCTGAATGCGCACAGCTTTGTCACTGTTCTCGACTGCCCCTTGAAATGAAAAAACATAGATACGATCAGGTTTCAAATCAGAAAGGCTTCAGAACGGTCGAGCAACCCTTGCAGTAAATTTTGGGGTAGGTAGGTGGGTGGAGGGGAGGGGGGGGAGGGGGAACAGGTGGGATTTTTGCTATAAAGTGGTTTGGGATTTTGGTATAAAGTGTGCCGGTTTGTCATTTTTGGTATAAAGTGTGCGTGGGCATGACATGAGCGAGCTTGAGCTCATCCCTTGGGCAATGAGCCTATGTATTGTTGGGTCTGGTTGGCAGGAACATAAATTCAGCTTTCGAGCTGTCGTTTTTGTGCTCATTGTGGCTTATCTTTTGCCCTCGGTTCATAGAAAGGCACTTCTTTCCTACCTTTTTAATCTTGCTGTTTTTTTATCTGGGAATCCTCAAAAGAAGTCTTCACTAGTTTACCTTTTCTGACAAAAGGCCACATTTCTTTTGAATAGAGAGGATTTCACCCAAACTATTTTTACTTTGCCTTCACAATTCAACTACATTGCCTTGGCAGTGTCATGAGAGTTGAAACTTCGCAACTGACGAAATTTTTGTTGGTCCCAGGTTGTGGATTTTTGGCTACTGTAAAACCCTTCTTGTACACATAACTCCATGAAATTCTGGCAACATGCCATCCCGAAATATCCATCATCACATTCTGACTTAAGATTCACTTTAGTGTTCCTTTAAAGGGATACTACAATGAAATTTTGGCACTTATTTCTCGGTTTATACATGTTCAAGGGAGCATTATCACATCGGACACACCAATATCTTGTTAAAAAATATATGAAAAGGAATTTTAAAACAAATTAAACGATTAGCAAAGAGCACCTGGTGGATGTCACTAAAGCCTCGTTTGTAATGCCCGTCTAGGAACCTTGACAGGTAGCAACGATCACTGTCTCACCTATAACTATAGATGCATCAAACCTGACATCATGCCGCCAGCTCTCCGATCTCCACAAGAGAAGAGGATGAGTAACTCCTCTCTCACCGGGACTCTTTTGTGCGTCTGAGACGTCGCTATTGTCTTTCTAGAAGATTATAGAAGATTAACTGCTGGCGTGCTTCGGTGGCTGGAATGGCTAGGACATCCTGTCGACATCAGCCTCGCCACAGCTTTGCTCGTCCAGAGACAATCTATGTAACGATTGCGCCGGATGTCACGTGCTCTCCGAGCGCTTGCCAGAAAAAGGCCATTTAAAACTAAAAATACAGCCATCAGGCTCAAAATGCAAACGTGCGGCAATAATTTACGGGTATTGTGGATCATATTCAGCCTATTTTTAAACACGAGATTCGTTGAAGTATCCCGTCAAAGAAGTCATGAAACGGTTTTTCAACTTTTTCTTCCTTAGTTTTCTCCCCCAACTCACAAACCGCTCATTGTACCAAACAGTTCAAGAAGTCGGAAAGGAGGGACTCCTCTTTTGCTTGGACCCTCGTTTGTGTACACAGACACCGCCATTCTCCCCCTAGAAGATTCGCCCGTCGCTCAAAATTCAGACAAAAGTTGCTTTCCCACCCCATTCACCCCTAAGCTGACAGTGCTGTGGAGGCTATGTGCTCGTTCGGCCAGTTACACTTCTATCTTTTGCCACATGATCACACTCCCTCACGCATACCCACAGGCAAAGAGTGGGATCAGGTGATAAAAGGGAGGCGACTGATTGGTCCAGCAAGCATGGAGCTTCCACCACACTGTAAGCTTAGGGGTGAACAGAATATAGTGAGGTCGGGTGTCGTGTGACGTGCGCTGGGGCCGGGCGATGTGCTTTGGGTTGCTGATGTATCATGGCAAAAAAACGGAGAGCTTTCGAAAGGAAGGAGGTATAAAATAGTCCACTTTGTTTTCAAATTTTCATATCGAAAATAAGGCTTCAGATTATGTACCTTCTTTCTCTTGGCCCACTAAACCATGTGCTATTAGTAAAATTCTAATATAAATTAATTTATCCAAGACCAAAATTCGTTTCATGGCCACTTTAACAACCAATCAATCGAATCTACCTGCATGCACAGGAAAAAAAAAGTGGGAACATGACAGGCATGCACAACTAGCAGAGAGGTCTTGCTCTTCTAACCTGTATGAGCCGACCCTCTGTCAGATTATGAGTCTTGCAGAATCACTCAGAAATGATCAGTGGGCATGAAAGATGGTGCCCAGCAACCTGACTACCTCACTTTTCTTTTTAGACGGAGCTGATTCCGACATTCTAAGTTCTCTCAATCTGTTATTTTCTCTCAGTAATTTTTTTTACCTGGAGTTTCTTGTGCTCACAGTGTTTACTATTCAATCTATTTCCCTACGGAAGGATCGCAACTGGTTCCTGATTCCCAAGGCCCCCGAGCAAAAATCCCACCTGTGGCGGCTGCACTTCCCAAACATGGAAAAGAGGCTCATCGAAGACTACGGTTGTGTGAAGCCCATCATTCGCTTACTGAAGGTACCGTGAACATACCGAGATGTATATTAAAAGCCCATCGTAGACGAAAACTTGGGTGTCATGGTTTCGGCAGGGGACGCCACCCCCTTTACTGAAGGACAATTGCCGTTTGTTTGGTGTGTTTTAATGCTATAAGAGGAATCATCACCTTTTCAGTAAAGATATATCCCTATAGAAATAAGTGGCAAAGTGGATTTAGATTTGGGAATGCAGGGAAAGAACAGAGGTGCCTTGAACAAAAGAGGGGGTATATTCAAATTTTTTTTTTGTTTATATGTAGGCTTGAAACTTGCTTTTTTTTTTAATGCGAAAGCATTAACTGGTTTTATGGAACGGAGCCAGCGTTGTCTGCAACCGCGAAAAACGGCAAAGAAACTTTCCGCGGAACGCCAGTTGCAGCGGGTTCCATGCACGCCAATAGATGGGAGAGGGTGGCGCGCGCTCAGCTGCCGCCCTCTCTCGGGTCACGTGTCAGGCATGGCCGGAAGGGGGGGGAGCAGGAAATTCCCACTCCTCGCATGTTCTATGCTGTGCTTTCAGCCATGTCACGCCGCAGAGGAGCAGGGCACGCAATGCACTGTGCAGGAATGCTTTCGCATTCCCACGCGTAAGCAGTCTTTAAGTGTCCTGTAATTTTTTTTCTTCACATCATTACTTTGTTTTTGTTTGGGTTGCAGACAAATGAGACAATGACGTTTCTTCTTTTTTTTCTATGAATTTAGAATAGTTTGCTTAAGGAATGAAGTGGGCAGTTAATTGATACGTCGCAGCGGTAAACTCGAGGAATCTTGTTGTCTCGAGTCGGCACTTTTAAAATGATGGCTATATAAGGTGTCACATGATATGGTGTCAGTGCCGCAAGACGCAACGGCATAATTTTCCTGTCAAATTTAACGGAAAAAAGCACCGCCACATGTTCATCACATTCCACTGCACGTTTAAGCGTGCGGTGGAATGCTTCTGTGTCAGACTGGCAAACGAGGGTGTGTTTGTCGGTGAATTTTTTCTGCTTCTGTGTCAGATTGCGGTGTCAGACTGGCAAATGAGGGTGTGACTGTCAATGAATTTTTTCCCAGGCCACGAGGGACTCACACATGTGGAATCTCTCGTCATATTCCCTCAAGACGTTTGTCATGAGCCTGGTCGTGGCTAATCACAACTCGCGATATTGGCACTCTGACAACCAAGGGATGCTTTTCGTCAGGGTGAGTGGGCTGTCTCTCCGTACCTTTTCCCGAGCGGCTGGTGTCGGCGTGCCAACACTGGGCACATTTTGTTTGGTTCTCTTTCCAATGTTCGACCTCTAGGACGGGCTCTTTGCCTTCCACCATGCTTCGGCTGTGCACGCAGCCGAAGCACTCTTAAAAGGTTGCTGGGGTTCCCTGAGACCAAAAAGTTTGAGAACCCCTGGTCTAGCTGCATGGCGAGGCGGGGGGGAAGGTCCCCTTTTGTACCGGCTTTTTCTGAGAGGATAAGCAGGATTTTTGGGTTCCTCGCAAAGCCTAGCCCTCCGGGTGGATGTTTTATGAAGTTGTAAGGGCACGCCCTGGCAGTCACCCATTTGAGCTGTCAAAGTTGTTTGGCTGTAGCCTGTGGCAAAGTAAACGATTACTATGCTCCACTTGATTTTCAGTCTGAGCCCAACGGACGCTAGGAGCCATCCCAGCCAATCCAGCGTTGAGAGAGTGTCTTGTGACCTTGAGCTCCGTCTGACGCTCTGCCCAACCGGCAGCTCACGCGATTTTCTCCCGGCGCTGGATCGGCTGGGATAGCGCGTGGCATCCGCTGCACTCAGACGGAAGGTGGAACGGAGTATAGAAAGCTGCGGTGCATGCCCACACCAATTAAACATACTTTTCATACTTATTCTCGGTTTCCGAAATAAGGAGCGCAGAAGGCCCGTGCCACATGTGGTGGTTTCAATATGTCAGCATGATTTACAAGTTACCAAAACATTCAGCATCCTCATAAAGCCAGCCTATCATGCTCAAACCTGCCTCAACTGGGGAGCGATGGAAAAGATGAATGTGTACCAATGCGCGGGCATCTTAGCGTACAGTGCGCACAAATTATTGTGTGCCTAACTCGCAGGATATGATGGCCAACCGAAATGTGGATGAAAATTGTGATTACACATCCTAACAACCTGCTTGAGTTGAAAGGACAGCAAGGGGATGAAATTTGTATTTACAGATCCTAACAAACCACATGAATTAAAAGAGCAGCAAGGGTGAGCGTCGATATTAGGGAAGTTTTAGTAGTTCGTTTTTAGCTCTCCGATAATCGTGCCTCACAGCGATATATACGCTAGGCTTGCTGTGAGCATTCTTTATTGAGCACGGCTATCGGAGCGGAAAACACAATATTGAACCCCTTTGGGGGAGCGTAGCGTGTTCTGTTATCGTTCAACGTTGCTTGTATCGGTGCCATAGCACAGGCTGCCACTTCAAATTCTTTGGGGCCGATTTTTTAGAGCGCAGCTCTTAGGCGCCCGTTCCCGGCTTGAGCAGCGTTGCCGTCGGCGTAACCGCGCGGTGCATTATGGGTAAATTTCCCCGCTAAATCTAGCAAAAGAATTTCCCCACTAAATCTAGCGGAAAAATTTCTCCGCTAGATCTAGCGAAAAACTTTCTCCGCTAAATCTAGCGGAAAAATTTCCCTGCTAAATCTAGCGGAAAAGATTCCCCACTAAATCTAGCGGAAAAGTTTCTCCGCTAAATCTAGCGGAAAAATTTCCCTGCTAAATCTAGCGGAAAAAATTTCTCCGCTAAATCTAGCGGAAAAATTTCCCTGCTAAATCTAGCGGAAAAAATTTCCCCGCTAAATCTAGCGGAAACATTTCCCCGCTAAATCTAGCGGAAAAGATTCCCCACTAAATCTAGCGGAAAAATTTCCCCGCTCAATCTAGCGGAAAAATTTCCCCGCTAAATTTACCGGAAAAACTTTCCCCGCTGACTCTAGCGGAAAACTTTCCCCGGTAAATTTAGTGGAAAAACTTTCCCCACTAATCTAGTGGAAAAATTTCCCCGCTAAATTTAGTGGAAAAGTTTCCCCACTACATCTAGCGGAAAAATTTCCCCGCTAGATCTACCGGAAAAATTTCCCCGCTAAATCTAGCGGAAAAATTTCCCGCCTAAATTTAGCGGAAAAACTTTCCGCGCTAAATTTAGCGGAAAAATTTCCCCACTAATCTAGCGGAAAAATTTCCCCGCTAGATCTACCGGAAAAATTTCCCCGCTAAATCTAGCGGAAAAATTTCCCCACTAAATCTAGCGGAAAATTTCCCCGCTAAATCTAGCGGAAAAGATTCACCACTAAATCTAGAGGAAAATTTCCCCGCTAAATCTAGCGGAAAAGATTCCCCACTAAATCTAGCGGAAAAATTTCCCCGCTAAATCTAGCGGAAAAATTTCCCCGCTAAATCTAGCGGAAAAATTTCCCCGCTAAATCTAGCGGAAAAATTTCCCCGCTAAATCTAGCGGAAAAAGTTCCCCGCTAAATCTAGCGGAAAAAGTTCCCCGCTAGATCTACCGGAAAAATTTCCCCGCTAAATCTAGCGGAAAAATTTCCCCGCTAAATCTAGCGGAAAAAGTTCCCCGCTAAATCTAGCGGAAAAAGTTCCCCGCTAGATCTACCGGAAAAATTTCCCCGCTAAATCTAGCGGAAAATTTCCCCGCTAAATCTAGCGGAAAAGATTCCCCACTAAATCTAGCGGAAAAATTTCCCCGCTAAATCTAGCGGAAAAATTTCCCCGCTAAATCTAGCGGAAAAATTTCCCCGCTAAATCTAGCGGAAAAATTTCCCCGCTAAATCTAGCGGAAAAAGTTCCCCGCTAGATCTACCGGAAAAATTTCCCCGCTAAATCTAGCGGAAAAGATTCCCCACTAAATCTAGCGGAAAAATTTCCCCGCTAAATCTAGCGGAAAAATTTCCCCGCTAAATCTAGCGGAAAAATTTCCCCGCTAAATCTAGCGGAAAAATTTCCCCGCTAAATCTAGCGGAAAAAGTTCCCCGCTAAATCTAGCGGAAAAAGTTCCCCGCTAGATCTACCGGAAAAATTTCCCCGCTAAATCTAGCGGAAAAATTTCCCCGCTAAATCTAGCGGAAAAAGTTCCCCGCTAAATCTAGCGGAAAAAGTTCCCCGCTAGATGTACCGGAAAAATTTCCCCGCTAAATCTAGCGGAAAAATTTCCCCGCTAAATCTAGCGGAAAAATTTCCCCGCTAAATCTAGCGGAAAAAGTTCCCCGCTAGATCTACCGGAAAAATTTCCCCGCTAAATCTAGCGGAAAAATTTCCCGCCTAAATTTAGCGGAAAAACTTTCCCCGCTAAATCTAGCGGAAAAATTTCCCCACTAATCTAGCGGAAAAATTTCCCCGCTAGATCTACCGGAAAAATTTCCCCGCTAAATCTAGCGGAAAAGTTTCCCCACTAAATCTAGCGGAAAATTTCCCCGCTAAATCTAGCGGAAAAGATTCACCACTAAATCTAGCGGAAAATTTCCCCGCTAAATCTAGCGGAAAAGATTCCCCACTAAATCTAGCGGAAAAATTTCCCCGCTAAATCTAGCGGAAAAATTTCCCCGCTAAATCTAGCGGAAAAGATTCCCCGCTAAATCTAGCGGAAAAATTTCACCGCTAAATCTAGCGGAAAAGGTTCCCCACTAAATCTAGCGGAAAAATTTCCCCGCTAAATCTAGCGGAAAAGTTTCCCCACTACATCTAGCGGAAAAATTTCCCCGCTAAAACTAGCGGAAAAATTTCCCCGCTAAATTTAGCGGAAAAAATTTCCCCGCTGACTCTAGCGGAAAACTTTCCCCACTAAATCTAGCGGAAAAATTTCCCCGCTAAATCTAGCGGAAAAAATTCCTCGCTAGATCTAGCAAAAAAATTTCCTTGCTAGATCTAGCGAAAAAATTTCCTCGCTAAATTTAGCGGGAAAACTTTCCCCGCTAAATCTAGCTGAAAAAGTTCGCCACTAAATCTAGCGGAAAAAATTCCCAGCTAGATGTAGCGGAAAAATTTCCCCGCTAGATCTAGCGAAAAAATTTCCCCGCTAAGTCTAGCGGAAGAATTTCTCCGCTACATCTAGCAGAAAAATTTCCCCGCTAGATCTAACGGAAAAATTTCTCCGCTAGATCTAGCAAAAAAAACTTTCCCCACTAAATCTAGCGGAAAAATTTCCCCCCTAAATTTAGCGGAAAAGTTTCTCCGCTAAATCTAGCGGAAAAATTTCCCCGCTAAATCTAGCGGAAAAATTTCCCCGCTAAATCTAGCGAAAAAATTTCCCCGCTAAATTTAGCGGAACAGTTTCCCCGCTAAGTCTAGCGGAAAAATTTCTCCGCTAAATCTAGTGGAAGAATTTCCCCGCTAAATTTAGCGGAAAAATTTCCCCGCTAAATCTAGCAGAAATATTTCCCCGCTAAATATAGCGGAAAAAATTTCCCCGCTAAATCTAGCGGAAAAAATTTCCCCGCTAAATTTAGCGGAAAAATTTCTCCGCTAAATCTAGCGGAGAAATTCCTCTGGGGAGTCACGTGAACCCTGTGGACACGTGACCTTGGGGACGGGGTCATGTGACCCCACCGAGATCACGTGGCCACCCCCCCCCCCCCCCCCCCTCCCCGAGAACACGTAACCCTCAGTACCCTTCCCTCCTCCTCCTCAAGAGCTGCACTCTAATTCGGCGTTACAGGGAGTTGTAAACAGCTTTCACTTTTTCATTTATTTAACATGACAAATAATGGTAATTTGACATTTTAAAAGCATAGCTACAGTGCGCCACGAAGTTTTTACGGACAAAGTATCGGCGATTTTTCTCGTTCGTTTTTTCTTGTGAGAAGTGAATGCTGTTTAGAAAACCGCTAATGCAAGTATCCAACCTAAGCCGTAGATCTTAGAACTAGGCAACAGATAGCTGGGGAATAAAAGCAAAAAGCGCCGATGTCTTGTTCGCACCAACAGTGTGGCGTAATGTGTACATGCCAATACACTATCAGTGCAAGCAGAGTAAATTTAGGAAACAAAAAGTTTTTTTTTATAGTTGGAATTTGTCATTTTTATACAAGCAATTCCACAAAGAATGCTGCTATTGGTTACCAACTTATGTTGCATCAGTTTGTTCCTCTACACTAAAATCTGCATGACCCTTGCATTAAAATGTGAATTTTATGTTTGCGCTAGCTGTGTCACGTAGGGTAAAAAACAAGTTTATTTCTCGAACATTTGAACAAAACTTCCATTTTGCCAGATATACATTTTGCGTGTACGCTCTTACACTGCTTGGTCAGAGTTCATATCTACGTCAAGCGATTTGACACTCTTTCAGAATTGCTGTTACAAAAATAATTTTCCAGCTATAAAAAAGATGTTTGTACAGTAAACTACTTTATTTACTCTGATCATATAGAGGTATGCATACATTACGCAACACCATTAGTGCGAACACAATATCGGCACGATTTGCTGTTTTTTTCCGGCAATGTACTGTCTAGTACTAAGATCTACCACTTACGTTGGATACTCTCATATAAGTTTCCTTAACATAATTAACTTCTAAGGAGAAATCAAAAACGGGAAGAAAACGGCGCTAGTTTTTTCATGCTAACTGCGTGGAAGAGTGTACCATAATGCGTTTACAATGTCAAATTGTAGTACCGCGACATGTTAAAAAAAGGCTGCTTTTGCTTTAGTTTCTTGAAGACTTCGAAGATCACTGTGAAGTGGCAGCCTGTGCTATAGTACCGAAACAAGCAAGTTTGAACGATAACATGGCACGCTAAACTCCCCAATACTGGCTTTAATAGGGATAGGGAGTCTTCGTAGACAGGTTTCCCACCTGTGCTACGCTCTCTGAAACGAAGACGCCACTACTGCGCATGCGCGGCACTTGCCTTGCCTGCAGAGTCTCGGATCTTGTAGCAGGTTGCGGAAAACTTTGTGGCTCAGCGGAAATAATCTACAAAAACTCCCTAATATTAGGGGAGCTTTCGTAGACCGCGTTTTCCCCTCCGCTAAGCCCTCTGCGACGAAGAAGCCGCTGATGCGTCTGCGCGTTGATAGCCTTGACTGTGGAGCTCTGGGTATCATAGCGGGTTGCAGAGAGCATTGCGGGACGGCAAAAACGATTGACAAAAACTCCTGTGTTTTCGGCTCCGATATCCGTGCTCGATAATGAATGCTCACAGCAAGGCTAGCTTATATGTCGTTATGGGGTTCGGAGAGCTACAAACGATCCCCTTAATCTTTTTAATATCGACACCCACCCTTGCTGCCCTTTCAACTCATGAGGTTGTTGGGATGTGTAGATACAAATTTTATCCACATTTCATTGGCCATCATATCCTGCGGGTTAGGCACACAATAATTTGTGCGCGCTCTACGAAAACAGAGATCCCCATTTGAGGCAGGTTTGAGCGTGATAGGCTGGCATTTTGAGGAGGCTGAATGTTTTCGAAGCATGTTAATCATCTTACTTATTGAAAGCACCACATCTCGCGCATGCATTCTGCAATTCTTATTTTAGGAACCGATTATAAATATGAGAAAAGTCTGTTCCAGTGGTGTGGGGATGCATCGCAGCTTTCCAGTAAGCGTTTATTTTGCCACGAGCTACAGCCAACCAACTTTGACAGCTCAAATGGGTGACTGCCAGGGCGCAGCCTTCCAGCTTCGTAAAACATCCACCCGGAGGGCTGGGCTTTGCAAGGAGCCAAAAGTTCTGCTTATCCTCCCAGAAAAAGCTGGTAAAAAAGGGGACCTCCCCCTGCCACGCTATGCCGCTAGACAAGAGGGAAAGGGCAAGGAGAACTTTCCGCCAGGCTGAAGGATATTTCTGCAGGTCCCCCTTTAAGTAAAAACACGAGATTCATGGGAGAAAAAAATGCATCATTTCTTTTGCGTTGACCCTGAATACAGCTCGGTCTGCAAGGTTCCTTCTTTCTTTGGAAATCGTGTCCCTTATTTTGTTTTCTCCTTTTATCGGCCTCTGGGTATTTGTCGAGCATTCGGGTCACATGCATATGCTCTCCGGGGACTGGTGAATCCTACCTCCGTGCCTTATTTCCCTTGACATGCATCTTGATAAACATGGGTGAAAAAACCCCGAGACTGCGGGTAAACGACACAACACTAAAAAGTCTCTAACACAGCTGGTGTACATTGTGCAATGTATACCAGCTCGTTTGTGCCCTTACTTTTTGTTCATTGATAAACGCCTTTTTTTTTTTTTTTTTTTTTGTCTAGTGCCAAAAATTGACTTTGAAAAACACAAATACTGTGAGAGAAAATAATCCCCAAAAAACACCCTTCAATTTGAAGATAAATAATCTCCAAAGACCAGTAACCCTACTTGCAACCTACGAAATGCGCTTCGCTCGACGCACTCCAACTCACCTTAAAAAAAACAAAAAAAACTAGCGGTATTTGGTCCACTCGGCTCGCCCCCGGGTGAGGCAATCGTGGGATATGCTTGAACACCGTAATCTTGTTTCTTTGTCCCACGCAAGGTCCTGGATTTCCTAGCACACGTCCTGGCACAACCAGGGCCTGCCATTTCGTTCCTCTTCCACCCGGAACTGGACCTCACCGAGAGAGTCACGAGAGAGACCAGGGATAACATCAGCTGCCGAATCAAACGCATTGTGCGCAAGCTCCGGCTTTCCCCTGACCAGTGCTACGAGCTCGTCTTGAAGAACCACCGGAAGGGTCAAGCTTTGTCAGACAATGGCGGGGCAGTTGTCGCATTGAACAATATTGGAAATATTGAGGCAAACAATGTACAACTGTTGATGCTTGTTGATTTAGAAACATACCTTGGCCCTGATAAGCTTAATGAAATACTAGCAGTAGTGAAGGAATCCTTGGAATCAAGCAAACAGTATAAAAAAGAAACAATGGACAAGTTAAGGGAAATAAATGCGGGCATCAGGGATATCGACAGCCGAGTGGCAAAACTTGAATCTATCATTGAGGTTGCAGAGATAAAAGAATACCTTCTTAGGGTAAATGCAGCAATTTTCAAGGTGGAAACTTCAGTAAACATTATAAAGTCAAGCCTAGATATATTGAATTCATAGGGGATCGTAAAATGCATCAATAGTAACCTTGAGACGTAGGAGCAATAGAAAACGGCAAGAGCAATGTCTTTTGGAGACTTCATTGTTCTTCGCCTGCATTTATTACCTTTTTTCACGATCGTTAGATAGTTCGATATATGAATAATTTGATATACAAAAATATGTTAAATTAAGCTAGAGTTGGAATTTCCTGCCGTCTGCAGATACTGAAGGTCGCGACTAACGGGAGCTTACTAAATAGAGCATCCAAGAGTCGCTGAATACAATAGAGCGTAGTTGGCGGAAACCGCAAACACCACCGCGCTTATACGCGCATCTGGCCGGGACCTCCACACAGCATAATCGACAAAACACAAAAATAATTTAAAAAAAAAAAAAAAAGAAAAGCAAAACACATTAAAAATTTCTTGATCCATAGAAAAAAGTCAAGCAAGCAAGAAAACAAAGCTCACTAATTCGGGCAACATAAAAAGAAAGGAAAAAAAAACTGGCAAATCAATAACGGCAAAATAAAAAGGTAAACAATGATAAGGCGTTCTAAGTGCGATTGCACAACCGTTGTTGTCAACACACCTAACTTACCGAAGAAATCTTTTTTTTTTTTTTTTTTTTTTCCTAATTCTATTTTGTGGTTGGGAAGTCGCTTAGCATCAGCAGTGTTTGGGGAAAGGGTGAAGGCTACCGTTCCAACAGCAAGCACTCCCTGCTCTCTCGATGCGCGCGTGTGTGCCCTTTTCCTTGCTTTTGCCACCCTTCACTTTTCTTTTTTTTTTTTTTTTTTTTTACGGTTTATTAATTATTTTTTTTGTATGCTGGCTTGGCAGTCTGCCACCCACATAACACAAGCGATGTGCTCGCCGCCGGCGCAATCGGACGGCGAAAAAAGCAACGAGCGGCCGGGATTCGTTCGCTATATCAAGTGTCCCCGCCATTGGAGTTGGAAAGACAGCACTCCTGTACATGCTATTTTCAAAGGGATGTTTGGACTGTGATATAACCGGGCTCGACCGTCTCGTCGAAAACGTGGTCTTGTCAGTTAAACCGAATGTAGCGCAATAACGGTTTACGGTCAAGTACCATAACGAACGTCTCCACTACGAAAACTCCCGTTTAACTGCGTTTTCTGAATTAAAACAGCGCAAAGGACGAGGCACCAGATCAAGAAAGGCAGACACGGCGTTCACTCAACTAAATTGTATTGATCTAAACCTTCCATTGTTAATTACTGTTTTCCCTGATCGTATCTGTGTGCAAATTGTTTGAGGAAACTTGGTGTTAGATTTTATGCATTTCACATTGTTGCAAACATGTCTATTGACTCCAGGGACCAATCATGTAAGATTGCACAGCCTTTTGTGCAGATTTTGAATTTTTTTCTAGACAGGTGGTTGTGTGAGGCTCCACACATCTCTCTTAGGACAGTGCCAAAGCGTCAAGTGAAATAGCAACTGTATGATACTCGGACACAAAGTTTTTGCCTCAAGAACGTGGCAACTTCTGTCCCCCCGTCAAAGGTCCACTTAGGCAGTGCACTAATGACTACTCACTCAATATTTAGTTTTCTTGTTACAACCTGTTGTATTTCCCACATTTGCAAGGACTCACGAAGGACCAGCAGACACCTTTGCATAAACTTTTAGAAAAAAGTGACTAATGACTACAATGCAAACTTTCCTCGCGGATCATTGCCATGCCGTGGTGTTCTTAACACACGCATACATTGATCCCCGTTCTGTGACTGCCATAGCAAGCAGATGACAGGTCATGTAAGGCCAGGTGACAATTCTTATCCTCTGCAGGCATCTACACGTATTGCTCAACTTTGTCATGGTGTTTGTTTGTTTTTTTTTCTTTACAGTGTCACATAGCAAAACAAATGCTTTGTTAAGCGATTCTCATTTTCTGCCATCTTCAGTTGTCCACATGCACATACGTGTGCAAACGGTTTCAAAGATAATAAATAGCGTGAGAACTTTCAGTGGTCATTTTCTTGTTGCACTGTTGGCCTCCCATGCTGAACGGCCACTGTCTTGGTTGCAAGGGAAAGAGTCCGCGGTGTCGCTAACCAGACATAAATCTACAGAATGCCATTCCAGCTCAAACCGACCTCTTCGTTGCTTGTCCTGTTGACTAAGAAATAACCAGGTCTTGGCAGCTAAAAGAGGACTATGGATATTTGATCAAACGTTTAGTATACATAGAAGTTGGAAAACCTGGATGCAGATTATGTTCAGTTGTACTTGCTGAAGCATGCGTAGATCAATTTGGAGCCTTGAAACGGTAAGTCTAAACATTTTTGTAGTGTACCGAGTGGTGTGCTTTGATTTGTCCTACGAGGTAGTTTTACAAGTTTTGTAGTTTTTTACGAGATGCCGCTACAATTCATGTGATGAGGCCTAATTTCAGCCACACTCGACCCGTGGTTCACGCTCAAAAAATGTTTAAAGCTACCACAAAAACAGAGAGAAGAAAAGCTAGTTTTGTGCAATGATAAAACATTTTTGTTTAAAAAAGTAGACAGCTGCGCAGATTAAAGCTGAGTTGGACGAAGTTTACGGGGGTTCTGCACCAGTGTTGAAGATAGTCTATTTTTGCATCAATGAGTTTCAACATGGCCGAACATCCACTGAAGATGAAGTGTGTTCTGGACGCTCACTTCATGAAGGAAATCATTAAAAAAATTCACGGCATCGTTAAGGAAGACCTTTGAGTGAAAGTGCACGAGATCGCCGAAAAGGTAGGCATCTCAACTGAACATGTTCACAATATCTTGCATGGAATATTGGACATGAAAAAGGTGTGTGAAGGATAGGTGCCGAAAATGCTCACTGTCGACCAAAATGTGTCCAAGGGAACACCTCAATGCAGCATTTGGCGATTCTTTAATTGCTGTATTTAGGACATATGGATTGAAGTGTTTGGCGACGTTTTTAATTAGTGTATTTAGGATATATGTTTACATTACAAACTTTCGAGGCGGTCGTAGCCAAGACCGTTCCATATCGAATTTGTGTAACTAGCCCGTGTTCCAAAATATCTGTCCCCGAATTTTCTACTTAACCCAACTTTTTTTTTCACTCGATCCGGCAGACCCGCAAAAGTGGGCACTAAAATAGCTTGCAAGTGTCGCCATTGCTGGGTACTGACTGTTATTTTTACTTACTGGCCTCTTCGAACTACAACTTCTGCGGTGTCAACCTAACACGGGGAACCAAACGCTCGTTGCGTATAAAATACTGGCATGGCCACAAATGATGTCGGTTGCATGTGTAGCCAACTTCGCTACATTAGCCAGATAATTATGCAATGTCTTCAAATTTCATACTTTAAGTGGGAAATTTGAAGACATCACATAACACGGGCTGGGTTACGCGAATTCTACAAACAGGAACAGTCTTGGCATACGATTGCCTCAAATCGTCTGATCGAGTTTCGAATGTTCTATGCTGAATGTTCCAGAGACCCACGCGGGTACATAAGGGACTCCGCATGGCGAGCGGAGCCAGTCTCGCCCCAGCGTTCGATTCTGCTGTTTTGCCGACATTGACGCCTGTGACGCTATAGGTTTTATTTATTTTGTTTTGGGCCACAGTTCGCCCCATTAAATGTTTAGTTTGCTTCAGTTTCCATCGCCTCATCAATTGTCCATTTGTGACAATATATCCTAATTACAGTGATTAAAAAGTTCATTAACAAATTTTAGTTAATTAATTTGATAATAGTGGTGGTTGGATTCCCATCTAATGTTTGCCGAGCAATATTAACATGCAGTGAAAGCCGCATTCAAATAACTTTGCCCCCTTTATAAAAATTTGGTACAGCAAAAAAAAATAATAATAGACGCCCTGCATTTCTGCAGCATTGAGAAGGTACTTTAAGTAGATTGTAATTAAAGTAATAAGTAGGTTTAGAAAACTTGTATGTTATTTGAAGTACATTCTCCTAGTATGTACTGGCACTTTTTCTGGCACTTTCCGAGGAAAGTACAACTCCCGAGTTCAAAGTACGTTCCCCAAAGCTGTTCTTGCTGAAACAAAGCTTTTTCAAAAACCACAGGCTCGCATCCTAGGCTTTTCCAGAACTATACCTTCCGAGGTCGAGTATAAGAGTTCACAAACATTTAACAAAAAAATTGTGTATAGTCAAGACTGCTTCACACACCTGCACAAGTCTGACCAAGTTCCATAGCAACGGATTGCGACGGAAACGGTGTGGTTGTAAGCGGCTTAAAACCCCCATTGCCATAGCAACCCGTCGAAGGATTAACGTAGCAGCCGTACTCGGTCAGCCTCGCGCAAGTGTGTGAATCAGCCTTTATATGAAAACGCACCATCGTCTTTCGAGACGTCATCCGGTCATTTTTCTGTGTGAAGTAATGGTGGTTATAAGATCAACACAAATAGCTGCCTTACAAGTTGAGTGCGCTTAATAGTTCGTAAGTAAGAGTTCTGTGGCCACTTGACTTTATCCGAAATTTGCCGCCATTTCCTAAAGTGACTGATGCACCCCAATTACCATTGGGGCAATGCATATCAGTGTAAAAAAAAACGCTGCAGGGGAGATTGTAAGATCATGAAACTTTCCAATACTTTACTTCAAGTACAGGTTGCACCCGGTGTACTTACTATTTTACTTGAAGTACATAATCTCTCATTTACTTCAAGTACTTCTTACATGTACTTTACCCAATACTGTTCCTGCATAATACAGTTAGCCACAGTGACTTTTTAAACTTTTATTGCACTAGCAACAATCATCAAGCTCCAGTAAAGGCGTGCTTCCCCGCTAAGCTCGAGGCTGCGCTGCGGCGAAGCGCTCGAGCTTCACAAGATGGCAGCGTCCACTCCATGGATGTCGGTTCTCCGGAGTGCGCTGGTGGTCGGTGAGAAGCATTCTCAGGGGAGCTGGCGTTCCAACACTTCGAAAAGTACCAAGTGTGAAGAGGAAAAGTGAATATCAAAGAGCGTAGTATTCTAAAGTATTACTGTAAAGCCCTTAATCCTCTCCTTTTGAACATACGGCTGCAAAAATAAAGGGCTCCACAGCATTCGAAAATTCAAATATTCGCGTAGGAATGACGCTGAAGGTTTGTCACACTAAATTTAATATGACAAATCAATAAAAAAACATAATTTTTTTATTCAATTTCTTGCTTACATCCAAATTTCCCGCTTTCGTAATACGTACGTGTAAAAAAAAAAAAAAAAAAAAAAAAAACGAAACAGAAAATTACGAGCAGTTCCGAACTCAAAACTATGCACTACAATTAAAATTTGAGACATCTTAACTTATTTACACTGATCTAATAAAAAAATTCCGAGGACATTTAAGCACTTCTTAGGAGTTGTGAATGCGAAAGCATGAAGGTTGTTTTTCCGTTCCCTTAGTCCGTCTGCAATGTATTGGCGTGCACCTCGTAATTCAGGGGCACTTGATGCACTAAAAACGGTCAAAACCCCGTAATTCAAAGAAAAAGGTACCGAAGCTACCTTTCAAAGATAAAAAAATTTGAGCTTTCTAATCAGTCATTTTATGATACTATGGGCATTAAAAGTAACTCCAGTGGCTGGTCAGTTTACGCTTGTCACCCGGATGCCATGTTAGCACCGTTCCTCCACAAGCACTGGTTCTGCCTGTTCCAAAGCCAGTGGGTTTAACGTTGCCTGCCACATTCTCATCATCACTTTTCGAGATAGGAAGTTTATACCTTTGATTTCTTGTCTCGTCCTATCAAAAAAACAAAAAAAAAAAAAACATCAATGAGCCAGTTTAGAAGGTGACTATTTTTATTGTACAACTGAACAGCGTTACAGCCAAAGAAAATACTGCCGTCTTAGCGCCGTTCTGAGTTCTCAAGAAGTTAAAAAGATTATTTTGGAAGCTACACAACTTTCAAATTGGTTTCCATGAAGATGATGAAGGAAACTAAGGTTCAATTTCCAAGAAAACATGGAGTGCATTGTTTTGAACAAACCCCTTCCCTTCTAGCTCTTCTACTGTGGACAGGCATGGCCTTCCGAAGCCTTGTTTTGTTCCTTGATTCGGCAGCTGAAAGTATGGCCGATCGTCATACCAACCAGCATTTACTGTGAAAGAAATCGCAACTGATTCATCTTTGGGGTGAATGACGCCGACTGTGTACACATTACGGAAGGGCCACTGCAGCTCCAAGTCATGTTCCCCGGGGTGTATCATCATGAAGCAACCGAAGTGCACCACACTGTTCACTCGTTCAAGCTGGACATATTGAGAGACACTGTAATCGTATATGGTCCTCTTGGTGCCATTCAATGCAACGAGCCCTTGTTCAAGTGCTTGCTTCTTCAGGTCTGCCCAGTGCTCAATGTACCAGTGGACTGTCTTAGCCCTACAATTGCTTGGCAAACTCTTGCACACCATATCCGAAACCACAGCCAACTTGTTGCTTTGTGTAAAAAGCTCTTTGCTCACATTCTCTTTGTAGTCGTTTATTGCTGCCTGAAGAACGTTGAGTTGTTCGGTGAACTTAGTGGTGCAGATGGCACTGAAGTCGCTGAACTGCTCAGCAAGCCTAGAAGCTTGTAACTGCCATTGGCACATGAATCTCGCACCTTCTTCTGTGACGTCTTCACAACGCTGGTTCAGGCTGGTCTGCAGTGACATAAGGTCCTCAGAGATGTTCCCAATGGCTTTCTTCATCTCGAGACAAGTTCTGCTAACATCCCCGAGATCTTGTGCCGCAGGGTTGTTGATAGATAGACATGCAGCTTTGTGAATCCTGCAGCCACTCTTGAAGTGCTCCAAGATGTCCCTGCGCAGCACCGACGAGTGGCAGATGCAGCAAGCCACGATGCCGAACTCACACTCCTTATAGTGGTCCAAGAGGCTGGCAGTACGGGCGATGAGGCCACAGCCCCTAGATGCGTTCCAGCAAGCAGCCTCGGAAAAACAAAAACAAACAAAAATTGGTCATCGCTTGGGCATTTCCCAAGGGCATTATTAGATGCACAGCATTTAAAGGTCACTTCACATACCTTTAGCGAGCACAGTGAGGCCGCCGAAGGGTACATTGCAAGGATTTCGTGAATATGCTATATAAAGCTGTCACAGTACCTAAAAAAATTAGTTACCTTCAAAAAGTATTGCAATACCTTAACGGCAGGTCTGAGGGCAAAGCGTGAATATTATGATAAACTGTTCAATGAGGCTTCGAAGAAATTTCCAGATATCATTTGGAAATCAATAAATGTAATCTTACAGCGCAATAGATCACACAATTCCATAGCAGAACTTAGCATAGGGGTGATTTCAGATAAGATCGAACAGGGGGTGGCTGGTCGACCTTTTTAATTTGCTTCATAATTTTATATGTTATTTCCCTATGTATAAAATAAACAAAATCAGAATTATTTTCACCAAGAAAAAAAATTGTCGGACGCAAAAAATCGTACATCACGTAGAGGTGGAATGTCGCATTTGCTTGCATAGCCGGAGGGGGCAACTTTGGTGATTAATAACTAAAGTTATACTTTTTAGGTGACTTTTATAATATTTAAGCACAATCTATATGTACTTAGAAATACGAAAAAAAATATTGTTATTGTTTAGTATGTTTTAAAAAATAAATAGAAAACATCAATTTTGGCTCCTTGACCATTTTTCCCCCAACTTTGCAGATCTTAGGAAATAATTTAGTCAGAAACGTCATATTTTAAGTAAATACACTACTTATAAATGGAAGTACATTCAATAAAATTCAAATTTATTTAAGCTCGGGTTGGGGAGATTTTGGCAAGCAAACACGAGACAAGCACCAAAATAAAAATATTTTAAGGGCAATTAAAAAAAAAATCCCGTTCTCGATTTTTTTTTAAACTCTGACCAGTCATTCTACTCTATTTGGGGGTTAATATCCATTAAAAACGTGTTGCATTATATTGATGGTGTAATAGATACAGCACCTCTACCGAGCCCCTTTCTGCGAAGATCGGCACGGTGTACCCCTGTGGTACAACGCAGTTATTGCGACTTCTTACTCTGAGAGAAAGTATTTATTTATTCATTCGAGTATAGCAAGTAATAGTTTGTCACATCTTTGGCACGTTATAATAAATTGAGCATTAAATATAATAAATTACACATCATATATACAACACAGTTCTGTCTTCATAGGTTTCGAAATGGACAGATTTTGACGCAAACATTTTCTGACAGTGTGCACTCAGAGTTTCTTCCAAGGGGACCCGACAGTCCGTGCCACTTCCAAGTCACAGGTCGAAGCTTCTGATGTTTTGCATAGCCACACATGCCACGACTGAATACCAGGAAAGGCGCGCACTCCCACCCACCCTTCATTTTTGCGTTCACGGAATTCAACAACCTCGTCTTCGTCCAGAATTGTGAAATTCATTCCTTTTAGTTTTTGGGAAAGACTGTTCACCATGCATTTTGCAGACTGTATGGCCTTTCCTGGGAGCTGTCTCAAGTTGTGAAGCGTTGCTTGGTGTTTGACAAGCCCTCCAACTCCGTCACAAGCGTTTTTTCCGTGCCCAGTGGCCATTGGGCCTTGGGATAAACATTTTTTTTTTGGAATTCATGAAGTTGGAAGCGATTCTTGATGTGACTGGCGGCACCGTCACTTACATAAGTCAAATAAGAGTACACAGCAAGGTTGTCATCGACCCACTCTCTCACTTTTTGTACAGCCAGACAGGCATGAGCGGAGTCATGATGCAAGTCGTCACTGATGACGGCAAAAGTGTATGTCGACTTTCTAGTCGTCACCACACACGTAAATATTGAGACCCGTTTTTGTTTTGTTTTTTCCAGTGGTACGCTTGAATCTCGTCAAGAAGGATAACAGTCCAGTTTTCAGCCAAGTCGAAGTGGAAGACAATGCTACCACGCTGCGCGCACTGCTTTTCTTCATAGATTACTTTGCCTTGCGTCTGTCTGATATGGTTGTGAATGATCCACCATGAGACCGACATACGAAGCTCTTCCAGAAAAGTGACCGGATCTAAAGTCTTTTTCACGAGCTCGCCTGACTCCAGTGCTGCCAAAACTATCTCTTCATCCTCGGAAATGTTGAGTTTTTCGAGTGTAAGAGACTGGCCTTTGGGACAATGGTCACATTTGCTTAAAAGGCACTGGCACGATGGCGGGTTGCAAATGAATGCAGAGTTCAATTCCGCTGCGTCAAGTTGTGAGCCAGCAGCGTTTTGTAGAGAGGCGACACAGAGGTTATAGTTTGCGCAGTACACACAAACGCACGCTTCTTGCTGGGGATTGCATTTAACCCATCGGGGTCGCAGAGAGTAAAACTTCGTCAATTCGATGCCGGAGTCGGGATGGTCACTTTTATACTCACGAAACGCTTCTCTGATTGACCGTGTCATAAGACGTTTCGGCCTGAGCGTTTTCTGGCCATCGAGCACAACGGAAATGACGTCCTTCTGATTGGGACTCTGCCTACAACACTAACTCGTCTTTCATGTAGTACTCAACCGCTGCAGATACGTTTTCAGGGCTCACCTTACACCTTGTATAGGGATCGGGCACATACCACACGCCGTGGTCCTCCCTCAGCTTCCGGGATCTATTAATGATGTAGATCGATGCCTCTGGGATGATCTTCTGGACTTCATATCTTGCCAAGGTTGATGGCAAGAGGGTCAGCAATTGACAGCGTTTCCGGAAAGAGGCTGTGGTCGCAAAGGCACGGCGAATGTTGTCCGCCCACTCGGTGCATGTGGAGCACTTTTGCTCCGACGACCCCGATGCCACGTTTTCATATATATATATATACTATATATATATATATATTTTTCTCTCTTTTCACAAAATAACAAGTTGCAATCATTGCATCGCAACACAGGGACACCTCGTGCCGAGCTTCGGATAAGGGGCTCGGTAGAGGAGCTGTATCCATTGCACCATCAGTATGATGCAACATGTTTTTAATGGATATTAACCGCTAGATAGAGTTGAATGACTGGGTAAAGTTAAAAAAAATTAAGAACGTTTTTTTTTTTTTTGTTTTAAGCCGCACTTAATATATTTTTATTTTGGTGCGTGTCTCGTGTTTGCTTGCCAAAATCTCCCACACCCACGCGTATACAGATTTGAATTTCGGTTAATTTACTTCCATTTATAAGTAGCGTAAAGTAGTGTATTGAATTAAAATATGACTCTTCTGACTTAAGTATTTTCTAAGATACAGGCCGGCAAAGTTGGGGGAAAACAGTCAAACAGCCGAAATTGATGTTTTTTTATAATTTTTTTTAAACATAATAACAATATGAAGATTTCTTTCGTACTGCTAAGTACACATAGATTGTGCCTAAAAATAGTGAAACTCAGCTAAGAAGTATAATTTCCGTTATTAATCACCAAATTTTACCCCTCCAGCTACGCAAGGAAATGCGACTTTCCACTTCTACGTAATGTGCGACATTTTGCGTCGGACGATTTTTATTTCTGGGTGAAAATGATCTTGATTTTTTTTTGTTATTTCGGACATCGTTAAATAACATACACAATTATGAAGCAAATTAAAAAGGTCGACCAGCCACCCTCTTTTCGATCGTATCTGAAATCCCCCTGTATCTGTTGTGTAATTTATTCTATATAATGCACAATTTTTTATAACGTGCAAAAGATGTGGAAGAACTATTACTTGCTATATTCGAATAACAAAAAAAAATCTTTTCTTTCAAAGTAAGAATTCGTCGCACCTCGGGGGCGCACACCGTGCCCAGCTTCGCAGAAGGGGCTCGGTAGACGTGCTGTATCTATTACACCATCAATATAATGCAACATGTTTTTAATCTATAGTAACCCCTAAATAGAGTAGAATGACTGGTCAGAGTTTGAAAAAAATCGAGAACGGGATTTTTTTTTTAAATCGCCCTTAAAATATTCTTATTTTGGTGCTTGTCTCGGGTTTGCTTGACAAAATCTTCCCAACCCGCGCCTGAATAAATTTGAATTTCAGTGCATATACTTACATTTATAAGTAGTGTATTTACGTAAAATATGACGTTTCTGACTAAATTATTTCCTAAGATACAGGCCTGCAAAGTTGGGGGAAAAACGGTTAAGGCGCCAAAATTGAAGTTTTTTATTTATTTTTTAACACATACTAAAGAATAACAATATTTTTTTTCGTATTGCTAAGTACATATAGATTGTACTAAAAGATTATTAAACTCACCTAAGAAGTATAACTTTAGTTATTAATCACCAAAGTTGCCCCCTCCGGCTATGCAAGCAAATGCGACTTTCCACCTCCACGTGATGTACGATTTTTTGCGTCCGACAATTTTTTTTCTGGCTGAAAATAATTCTGATTTTGTTTATTTTGGACATTGGGAAACAACATATAAAATTATGGAGCAAATTAAAAAGGTCGACCAGCCACCCCCTGTTCGATCTTATCTGAAATCACCCATAGATGGCAGATTGGTTGCCGAGACCACGCTGCATTTCGTACATCTGGCATCGAGCTCGTATTGCGACACAGCCGTGGACAGCATTTCACGAAGAATCAATGAACCACCTTTTTGATCCTACTACTTATAATGAAGTGTGTAAAACATTTATGGGCTTAAAAAATAGTAAAACAGGTCATATTGATGACCTTCAAATTAAACACATTAAATATATTCTTGACATAACTGTGCCATATCTTGTACACATCTTCAACATGTGCTTGCCATGAGGAGATTTCCCTAGGAAACATGCAAAAGTGTCAGTGTTGTATAAGGGCATTGAGAAGAATTATTTGTCTAATTAGGGACCTATATTGGTCCTGCCTATCTTTTCCCAAAGTGCTCGAAAAGATTATTTTCTGTCGTTTAGAGACTTTTTTTGTCAAAACACTCGGTACTTTCTGAGTCTCAGTTCGGTTTTAGAAAGAGAAGGTCGCCGGAATCTGCACACCTCTTACAAAAAGAAATTATTGGACATAATACTGAAAACAAACTTTTATATTTATAGATTTTAGTAAAGATTTGGTTGTATTAATCACAAAATACTTGTTGACAAATTATACCACTACGGTATTTGTGGTTCTCCACTTTCACTTTTGCGTCATATCGAGAAGATTGCATGTAGTGTGTGCGCACTGATGGACATTTCTCTTTTATGCCGATCAGATATGGCATCCCCCAAGGTTGCATATTGGGGCCCTAATTGTTTAATATTTAACTAAATTATATTATGAATACTGGCAGAAACACTCATTTCATAATACATGCAGACGACATAGGTTTGTTCCTCTTTGACGCGGATGCTGATAACTTAAGCTTGGTAGACGTTGAACATGATGAAAAATCGTGCACGAAGAGACAAGTACGAACGAGGAAACAACACAGAATGCAGAAACGTGCATACTCACAACTCTGGTATATTAAGTGAAGAAAGGAAAGATGAAGCATGATTCATGACATGGGACATCCATCAGGGTGTCCCCTGTCATGAATTGTGCTTTATCTTTCCTTTCTACCAGAGTTGTGAGTATGCACGTTCCTCATTTGTCTTTGTCTCTTTGTGCACGATTTTTCATGATGTTCAGCGGATAACTTAATAACAAAAAGAAATGTCATGCTCTGCAAATTTGCAATGTGGTCAAAGTCAAATGTGCTTATTAATAATGAAACAAAAACCGAAGCAATATTATTTAGATCAATCAATAAACATGTAGCCCTAAACAAAACTACTCAATTTAATTCTATGCCAATTGAACTAGTGAAAAATCATAAATCATTGGAAGTCATATTTTCAGAAAATTTGTCTTGGGATGATCTTATAAATCATATTACCAATAAATTAAGAAAAATCGTTGGTATTCTTCCTTGATGTGGCTCCATTCTCCCCGAAAATGTAAAATTATTTGTTATCACACATTATTTGTATCTCAAGTAACTTATTGTCATCTTATTTGGGGTACGACAACAAAATCAAATCTAATAAAATACTATTGCATCAAAAGAGTGTTACGCTTTATCGGAAACATTCATCACTTGTTCCACACAAAATCATTATTTCAGAAATGCAAAATTATCAATTACAGTTTTTTTTTTTAAGATTTACAGATTTGTTTAGGAAAAGCCGTGAAAGTCACTGTTACAGTTGGACCACCTAGCTCAACTCAAGCCCGTAACCCAAAAATTTGCTTGATTTGGACGTGTTTTTAGGTCTCCGTTTTTCATAGCAGCGCGTTTACGAGCCAGCAATCCTGCCCACCCCTGGCCAAAATGCGCAGCGTGCGTGCACCACCAGGCATTGCGTAAAGGCACGTCTTCACACTGACACCGACTTCAAAAAATGAAAGCCGTTTACAACTCCCTGTAACGCCGAATTAGAGCGCAGCTCTTGAGGAGGACGAGCGAAGGGTACTGACTTTGGGGGCCACATGACCTTGAAGGGTCACGCGACCCCCCAGAGAAATTTTTCCACTAGATTTAGCGGGGAAATTTTCCCGCTAGATCTAGCGAGGAAATTTTTCCGCTAAATCTAGCGGGGAAATTTTTCCGCTAGATTTAGCGGGGAAATATTTCCGCTAGATTTAGCAGGGAAATTTACCCATAATGCACCGCGCGGTTGCACCGACGGCGATGCCGCTCAAGCCGGAAATGGGCGCCTAAGAGCTGCGCTCTAAAAGTCAAACCTCACGTGGTAGTCCAGAGGCTTCCCTATATAGCCTATTTAAGTGCCACGTGTGGTGGCGCCCATATGTTGCACGTTTTGGCCTCTGGAAGCTGGATTGCTAGCGTGGAGATGCACTCCGATAAGAAACCGCAACACAGAAACGCGTCCAAACTGAGCGTTTTTTCGGAACGTCGTAAAATGCCGCGCACGCCTTTAATCATTATAGTGTAGGTGCACTTAGTCATTTTCGACAACTCTCACCAACTTTTTTTTAGTTTTTACAGCACCGATTTAGCCCACATTTTCAGAAACACCCTGTATGTGCATTCTGACCTAGTGATAATCTAAAAATTTTATAAACCTACTTTAAAATGTTTACTTGCAAACTTCCACCTACTTTTTTAAACGAGCCATGCTGCAGTACATGAGTTCAGTCTGTGTTTCGCAATTTTAACGGCGCGCGTCTACTCTGACTTTTTCTGTGTATCGCACACAACGAATCTACAGTGCACATGAAGGGCCCTAGATGTGACTGGGACAGAAAATGAAAACCACAGTGAATAAAAAAACAGCTGCACAGCTGTTATTTTTTGTTGTTTCATCGATAGCAATGTGCAGATCAAGTTAAAAACACTTAAAAGTGCCTTTCCAATGGTTACTTGCACAGCACACGGCACCAATTTTCTCTTTAATTTAAGTAAAAGATTCACGATGACCACACCCACAGAAATAACAAATGCACCGCACAAAGCAATGTGCTGCATGAAAGCTTAGATGGTGGGAAACCAGTTGCCCCAAGAGGGATATGATGTCTCTGCTATAGATTAATGCGCATCACACAGCAGCAATACATGGGCCGAATGCATGCCGGTAAGATGCTCATAAAGATCAAAACGAGCAGGGTCGGGCATCAAGCCCAATTTCTCTGGGTTCTGCAGCACAAACATTCAATCCACATACCCACAGCTGCTGTGTGCTTCAGCTGCCAGGTCCCTCAGCCGCCACCATGCATTGCATAATTACGTAATTTCACTTTGCATACCATTGCTTTGTGATACCAAATGACTTGCCAAACTTCTGCCTATTTCTTCCATACCATTCTTTGTGTGATTGTATGCGCATGCAGACAGGTCTGCTGAATCCTCGCCGAACTTTTCTCGAGAAGTTTAGCCACTGCCCAATTTTGACGAATTCAGACTTTGGCTAACTAGGACGGGGGAGCAATCACTCACTTCTCGGTTCAAGATGTACTTGAGAGAGAGCTCCAGATGCTCGACATCATCTTCGCAGAATGCTTTCTGGTCGACAGGACACATGCTTCCTTTGTCGACACACTGGGTATGACATTTTGTGCAAAGCGTGTGGACGCAGGGCAGCCCAATCGCCTTCTTGTAGAGGACGCCGCACAGCACGCAGGCTCTCTGTGCAATGATGGGATCCTGAAACAGCGTGGGCCTCCAGTCAATGAGGTCAGAGAATTCGGCTACTCTGAAAGATGCCATCTCCACTTGGCCATGGCTGCAGTCTCCCATCTTTTCGCTGGTGGGCAAAGGAATATGCCAATCGTGTAGGTTTCTTCTTCAGGAGGCCTGTGGAGAACATTAGCAATCATGTAGACAAGATTACGTAAGAAACTACACAAATTCTTAAGAAACGATAAGGAATATTAAAAATATCAATAAGGTGTTGACAAACATTAAAAAAAATGTCTCCCAGAAAAATTTTGGTGTTATGAGTTTGAAGGGACTTCGATGTTGTTCACAACTGAAATGGCAACCTCGCCTCTAAAGTGGTATTTCCCGCTGTTCACATGTTACTGTCAACAAAGTCAGCCGTACGTACGTCGCAGTAGGGATTTCCCGACCTCTTTTGGGGCGTTTTCCTGTGGCTTGTCTTCAGATAGCAGACCGGCCACGATTAGCTATCGATAGTCCTTCGACACTTTCTTCAACTTATTGGTAGTTCTCCGGTCCTTTCCCCTAGGGCAAATCTCATGTTTTGTTGGATTTGCATTTATGGAAGCTTTGATTGTAAAAATACAAAACAAAGACGCTACGAGATTCCCGTTACCCGACAAGCACAGCATGGCAATAAAGCAGCGCTTTCCGCGCACACCTTGATTGTGACAGGCACTCCACGCTGCCTACAGCAATGCGCCAACCACGAAGGGAGAAGAGAAAACGAGAGCATGCGGGCACGTCAGAATGCCGAGCTCTGGTTGGAAAGAAGAGTGGACAGACCTGAAGCTACCTGCCTTTGTCTCCACTGCAATCATTAAACGCGTTAGAATGCGGAATGCCGACGTCGACGAGTGCAGTGGAGAAAAAGGTAGTTCTTGCCTCCACTGCACTCGTCCAATGTGTTAGAGCACAGAACGACGGCTTCCAGCATTTAGCTCTCGCATTCGAACATGTTTAACGAGTGCAGTGGACAGAAAGGCGGCTAGTTTTAGGTCTACTCACCAATCATTCAAACCAGAGCTCGGCGTTCTGAGGACCCCGTGCGCTCCCGGTTCCTCCTCTTTCTCAGTTTCTCGGCACATAGACCTTGTGCACCATATGCCAAGTCTCCTTGATAAAATTCACACTTTTGAGTACCGCCAACCATTGTTGTGGAAATGCGCAAGACACGTGCCCCGAGTGGGTGCTCTGCCGCCATTCGCTTCCAAGAGCCATTCATTTCAGTGCTGCACCACCGTCTGCTTCCAATGGCTGCTTGACCTCGTGCACTCAAAGACCGATGTGCACTTTGCACTTTCCACTTTTGTCTACCTCCTCCTTTCCTGTGTCCTCTCCACTTTTTTACCTTGCCCCAATTTGATTCCCCTTGCAGCTTAGAAGAGTGGAAGCACTAAGAAAATAACCTCCCTTGCAGAAAACAGAAGAAAAAAAAATGCGTTGCTTGTATAGTTAGACAGTCTTGATGCTAGTACGCCTCAACAGGTGACTTGTCTCTTAGCTGTAGATAATAATTTTAGCCAGTGCAGTACAACCACTAACCTGGGGTCTTTAACATGCACCACGCAGTAGTGATAACACGAAAGTGCACCGGTTCGAAACTCATCCAGATCGGCGCGGGCAGAGGATGGGGATCGAACCCAGGACATTCTACACCGCAAGCTTTCGCTTCACACTCCAAGCAGAGACACGTTAGCCAACTCGGTAGGGTGAACATATTTCTCAAGGTAGAAAACGGGACATCCCAACGGGGGGAGGGAGTAATAAAGATTGAGTTTGGGAGAAAACATTTAATGAAATAACTGCTCACAGTTCAGTTGCATGCACTCATGCACTCATTTGGAAGGTCCTGCTTCGGGTCCTTCGTTGGTGTGGGCGTATTTTGCCGACGACTGAAGTTTCCTAAGCAGGACTTTATCCTGCAAGACTCGGTTATAAAAGTCTGCGCACTTATATGGGAAGTTCAACCGCACAAGTAGCATTGCTCGCAACGTTGAGACAAGAAGGCCAGACTTTCCAATTCCATTCCAATTCCGGAATGGAATTGGAATTGGAATATTCCATTCCAATTCCCCGGAATGAAATTGGAATGGAATGGGGGTGCCCATTCCGCAACACTGCTTGGAACGACGACGACGACATGGCCAACGTGGATCGCACAGCGGCAAATCTTTGAGAAACCTTTATTATCTACCTGAGAACCTACTGATTTTCAAAAAATGGTGCCTATTTGTAACTAATCTGCTGAATAGATCTACTGCTAAATTACCCAAGCATCAAGGAGAACGCAGAGAATGGTGCTCCACGCGCCGCACGTACCGGCGTCTGCAGCAATAGCTGTTCTAAAGCAAAAACCTGAAACAAATGGCATCTTGCTCGCGCGTTCGTTACCGCGTTAAGTTAGTTATTTACTTTGAATGTTTCATACGGGGAAGGCATGCGGCGGTGCGAGGGAAGAGTTATTGGTCACGCACACAAAAAATATACGGAACCTTCGCCGTAAAAAGAAATATAAGTCGCGAAGCGCGCACCCCGAAACCTTGAACGACTAAAAGAAGACAAACGGCTAGGGAAACAAATTGGTGAAGACTTGGTGCGCAGGCGAGCTGCTGGTGGTGGCTAGTCATGTCGTGTAACACCCAAGACTGTGGCCTCAGGTGTGAAACACTGAGAAATGGACGTTTCCTTCTGTGTCTGTTCCTTCGACTAAAAGTTTTTCAATTTGTGTACCAGTCTCCGCTTGCTCCGCTGTTAAACGACATGATAGGGAAACAAAGAAAGTTTGAAGAAAAGTAGGGACAAACAAAACAACGTTGCGCTGCTGTGCTTCTCGCTTGTCATCATGCCCTCACCTTTTGATCGCTTTCCTACCCAGAAAGGTTGCTCCAAAAAGGTGGAACAAAAGGACCCGGTCGAATCAAATCGGTGAACCTGAAAGTACCGAAACACGGACTTCTATGAACTTTCGAAGACTGCGCCGACTGCGCCGACTCGCTGACTGCGTATAAGGCTTATGGATTGGCCGTTTGGGACTTCGAGAGTCCGAGAAATGAAGCCAAGTTAGCTGCTAGCCTTTTTTGAAATACTTTGCCCTTTGCCCCAACTTATAAGCGAAATTAGTTGTTTTTATAGTTTTTATGATTTATTTGTTTTCAAATAGACGACTTCATGGTGATCAACCAAAGGAGTATGAGTTTTGACCGTTTTGTCATTAAAGTCGTGCGAAATAAACCAGGTAGTGCAAGTGTGAACAGATATTTATTTATCCATTAATGAAAAAAAAAAAAAAACTGGCAACGTTTTGTGGTCGAAAACCTTATTGTGACGTCATATTTAACCTTAGTTTGGTCCAACGTTAGTTTTGTCAAATACTAACGTTGTCAAATACTTAGAACATGACGAATAAGAAACTGGCAAATAATCTCCTGTAAAAATACTCGATTCGCCTGAAGTCAAAACGTCAAAGCAGTACTGAAAAGCACAGTGCAGATCCGCTCAACGTTTATAGTAACGTTGGATCCGCTTGCATTGTCACGTGGTACAACACGTTGACGTAATAGGATGCTTACCCAGCTTACCGGCTTACATAGAGATCATATACTAAATCTAGAGGAAAAGGTCCGCCATTTTCCCATACATTCTGGCTGCCGCAAGCGGCGCACCATGCAGGCAGACCCTCTGGGTCCCAAACACGGTTACATCATCAGAGCAGTTTCGTGAACTTCAACAATCCACGAACTTACCGGTGGAAAGATACTCGCGTTCTTTTCGAAGGTTTCTTTTTGCATAGCGCGCAGATGTACGGCCTCGCGTTAACGCTAAACTAAACCATATACCCGGCTTCGCTGGTGGGGCGCGGCTGGGCGCGGTTGGCGCGGTTGAGGAATACGAAACTGCGCAACCACCAGATTTCCGAGATTTCGACAGAAGGGAAGTTAATGCAGCGTAATGACTTTATTGCTTTTTATAAGCGTTAGAATAGCTCAGAATTTAGTTTACAACGTTAAATTATCACTGTTTATATTGCTGAGAGTTTTCACTCTCCGTGTTTACCATGGCAACGTTGCTTTCTTTCTCTCGTGTTCTGTCGCTCTCTTTTGCGATCGTTCACTCGGGACCCAGGATGTCGGCGCACGGGATTTGCCACTCCTCCTCACCCACCTTTACCCCCCTGCCGGCTTACCCCCCGAGCGAGTTTTGGAATACAGCCCGTGCTGGTTTGCGTGTTTGTTTACCTCGTTGGCGTTCGCGTTATTCTTTGAAAACCCTCGGCTCGCTGCAAAAAAAAAGGTACCATAAGCCGCTGTTTCCCGGAGTTGGAATCGCACTCTGTTTTTACTGTGACCCTATGCTGCTTTCAGCCGATTTCTCAAATAGGCATTGGGTGGACCGGTGGACGATGCCGCACGACCACGGCGACCACGGGCACGACTCGTGTGGCCACGGCCACCAACATTCGCAGGGCCCCGACTTGGGCATCCAGTACTCGCTCTACTCCAAGATCGACCTGGACAATGTGCAATGCCTCAACGAGGAAGTCGAGGGCAGCGGCAAGCTCGTCTTCAAGCCCTGGGAGCTAAGGCTCGAACTTGACAAGGTGACACACCACCGCGCACGTTCCTTTCGCTTCGTCGGTCGTTTCGTCGACATGGCGTCTCGTCGGTAGATGATAGCCGCCTTTAAATCCACAGCAGCGAGATTCCCGTAAATTGAATGGCGGTGAAACACAACGTCTGTGTAAGGTGGCAAATCTTGCGTCCCGTCCGTGCGCTGTGCCTTCGAAATTATCTTTGGTCAGGGTAGAGAAGCAATCTTGACCCTATCTTTCACTTGATTTATTTAGTATTCCTAAGCAGCAATGATTTCAAATTATTTGAGCCACAGTCCAGATATAACAGCTGGAAAATAGTCGCTGGCGGTGAAGATCTCGGGCAAGTATCAAGTGGCTGTCGGCGGCTTTATCGGCGACTTGTAGAGTGCTCCATCTTCTGGGAGCCCCGATGAACAGCTAATAACAGTTGTATAACTGTTCTACGTCCCTTTGGCTCTACATTACACCTTTACAGAGTACACTGCAGGTCTTCCCGTATATCTGTTACAGGAGTGTTGCCACCAATTCTGTTGCAGCCCTTGATGGAAGTAAAGCGTGCTTTTGCCTCCCTATCGAACACAATTTTCTTCCGATACGTGATGCTCACTTTATGAACAACCAAACCAAGAAAGCAAAAGCAGATATCTGTACTAGAGCTTGACCTTTGTTTGAGTGTGTGAAGTCATACAGATCACTAACTTTTGAGTTATCTGCTCATTCTTCTCACTCTCGCCTTCTTTTCTTGTGTGTTTATTTATTGGGTTTTATGCAGAAACACCCAACCTACCTCGGAACGGTTAAGAACCCAATAAATGCTTCACATATAGGCGTAAATCTGCCACCCTGCTTTTGAGAGAGTAGTGCGTTGTTTGCCAAGCGACATTGCGAGAACAGCAATACTGGTTTCAGGCGCAAGCGGAAGGAGCGAAATGTCATCGCAAGGTGGCCTGCTACGGCAAAACAGACCATATATTTTCCACCTCATGTCGTCGAGGGCGACGGCAGGACACCACTGTAACTTAGCAGATGGTGCCTTCATGTGAGACAGTGGCAAGACAATACAATCAATGCTTACCTGAATTACTGTGCAATCAATTGTGACAATGGGACTTGGCAAGAGGGCCACATTTTGCGGATGAATAAATACCGCTTTGAAAGCGTCATTTTGGGGCATCTTGAATTTAAATTCAGCAGAGAAGCAAAATGAGCTCAGTGACGTAGCATGGCAGTGGTGTCACCCGATCATCTCATGCAGCATACCACAAAGACTAAATCATTTTCACATAGCAGCCATAAACCACTGCAAAGAAACGCTCGTGCCGTTGCAATCTGGTAACGTAACTTGAGTCAGGGACAAGCAGCAAACTAAGAGGTACCATCGGCAGTGGCAAAGACTGTCCACCAGTCTTGACGGTTCGTTGAGCCTGTCGGGCTGACAACGAGGGCGCACCGAGCATTGTAACTGATAGTTGAATTGTCACCTCGTCCTATGGAAAATGCCCCTGACAAAAGCAGTTATCAGCGCAACGTTGCGGCTTAAACCGGAGTGGGTAAAGAGAAGGAAGATAGCTGCAAGAACCCGGCTTCCCTCGGTGTTGCCAACCGCACTTGTAGCCCCATTTAAAAACCAAGATAACCTGCAGCATCAGCATTGTCAAGGAAATGAAGGGAAGTGATTGGCTTACAAAGTAATACGAATCAATTCAAGGGGCGTTTGTCTCCGTGCTCTTCTCTGTCATAGATTGTGGCTATAGTATACAGTGCACAGCTTTTCTCTGCGTTATGCATGCACGTGGCAAGTTTGGGAGCTTTTTCATGCTTCCTCAACAACTGTCTCATCTTAAAACTCCCTTTTAAGATGAGACAGTTCCCCGACTTTTCCAGGTTTTCCCTGACAATTTCAGATGAAATTCCCTGACCACTGCAGAGGCGGTTAAATATATAAGACCACTACAACACAAGGCATTGAGTATTGAGCACTGTGAGCATCATTTTGCACGGGCATAATGCAATTTGCATATTACGAAATATCATGGGTTCGTCCAGTCTGGATTAAACAAGCACTTTCTTGCCGCCGACATTGTCAGTGAAGAGGCCATATCCGAAGACACGATGAAAACACAACGTTCAATCACACACCTCAATAACCGAATGGCAGCATGGCGCATGGCCACCAGATGCACAGTTTCAGATACTTTTGGCTTAATGCTTGGATTGGATTGGAGTCTGTGGCTTTCCCATTTGTTACTAAATCTAGTAGCTCTAATTGGATCAAGCCTAGTGTCGCGCCCTCAATCCAATCCAATCCAAGGCTTGGACTGGATTTGCCGGCTGTTCCCTTTGCATCGGGTAGCACACTCTACATCGGGTGAGCAGACAGAGCCCACGCTTCGCTCTAAGCAGAATTTATTGCCTATTTTTCTGTCCCCAAGTCCGCAAGTCTTTGCTCGGAGCACTCGTTTCTGGCTCATTTTCTCTGACTGGGTTCGCTTTTTGACAATATCCCTGACTATTCCCAGATTTTTCCCGGTAATTAAAATTTCCCTGACAATTCCCGGTTTTCCCGGTCGCTAGACACCCTGGCAACTCACGCCACACATTTTCAGTGTGGCTAGTAGAGCCATTTGGACGAAACTTAAATTTTAATAGCTTCCGAAAAAAAAGAAAAAAATGATTGTGACTTGTAATTTGGGTTGTTAGTAGTTCACATGTGTCTACTAATGCGTTTAAAGAAGCTTCTAGTTTCATCTCGGCCAGCAACATTTAATTTTCGAGGAACTTGTGCAGGGCTCACCAGACCTATTGTAGTAAACATCACTTCTTTTGTTTGTTGCTGGCGTGCAGCTCGCTCCTTTGAGGCTAATTCTAATAGTGTTTAAGGCCGACCAGCAAGCAAAAAAGGGAAAACTCTCTCAATTCCTCCCTTTTGTTTGAGGGAGAGAAGGATGCAAGGGTAATGGAGAGAAGGAAACTGGGAACCGGTTATCTGCCTCGGGAGACGACTCTGTCTCTGTAGGTCAGCCTTTAAACCAATTTTGAGACAAGTTGGTGACTTTCCAAATTTCCTCTGCGGTGCAGTTTGTGGACAGCGACGCGGACGAGGAGCTCCTCTTCAACATCCCGTGCGTAGCAGCCATTCTGGCCCCCGCCGGGCCCGCTTGACCCAGCCCCCTCGCAGCTTCACCGGCAACATCAAGCTCAAGTCCATCCTGGTCATGGGCGGGGAGTCTGGCTCCCACCCGTCCAAGATCCGAATGTGAGTCGACTGCTGGTCGGCACTTCGGTGCCGGGAACGTGCCTCCAGCCAGTCTGTTTAGCACATTTCAACTTCTCGGCTACTGATCATGAGTGTCACTCGTGCCACCCAGTAGGCCCTTTCCGGAGAATCCCGCTCGGCCTCTAGTCGACCCCACATTGCACCGTGCGCGGGGAATTGTGGGGTCCACCCTTACGCTCAACAGATCCTCAAAGTGGCTCGATTCCTTCTCTTGCCAATGCGAGCTCAGAACGCAACGGAAACAAAGCGAGCACTTCACAAAGCCGATTCTGCTTTGTTATTGTCCTGCTCTCTTCTTTCTGAAATTGTAAAATGCTAAAAAAATATGAACTGCTCCTTCTGTTTAGGGCGACCTCTTCATGCGCCCTACGTCGGATTGCCATAGTGCGTCAAAAAGATGATGGGAGGGAATTGTCAAAACTAAAAGGCCAAGAGCACTGGGCCTTTTAGTTTTAAAGCTGGGATGAATTGTTCTGCACATGAACAAAAGGAGGGAGGGTGGGGGAGAGAACCTCTCTTTTTAGAGTGCAGCTCTTAGGCGCCCGATTCCGGCTTCAGCGGCGTCGGCGTAACCGCACGTTGCATGGTGGGACGTTTCCCATAATGATGTCTTGAGTGACGTCACAATGGTCACGACCTTCACAAGTGACGTCACACGGGTCTTGAGTGACGAGAGAGGGAGGAGGAAGGGAGGAGGGGGAGAGGGAGGGACATACCCACCCCTTCTCCTCCCTAACAGCCGAGCTCTAATTCGGCATTACAGGGAATTGTAAAAGTTTTTCTTTTTTTATGTGACCTTTGAAGTTTGATTAAACTGCCAGTTGCGAGCGAGCGCTTGTCTGTCGTGTTTATTCTCTGCTTTGTCGTCGCCTTTTGTGTGCTTTTTAGTCAAAATTCAACCCTGGTGCCTAGTCTCTAGTCATTTGGGGGGGGGGGGGGGGGGGGGTCTCTCTCAAAAGCTTACGGAGAGTGATGGGGGAGGTTGTTTCACCTGCACACATAACCTACTTGACTGTGGGTGAGCGTCACCTGGCATGTATCATAAGAAACAGATGCCCATTGACCTGATACAAGCTGATTACACTTGTTAAGAGTAGTTTTCATTGAATTGGCAATTGAACTATTGACTGATTGCAGACAACACAGTTTTTCAATCTGAGATATGAAGCAACTGGCCAAATTATGCACTCTGCTCAACTTCTCTTAACTTTATTCTTTGCTCTCTATTTCACACCCACCAGGCTATGCATTATTTGGATCATCAGCCAGTTCCAGTGGCAGACTTTAAGGAACACTAAACTTTCCAAAACTTTTTCCTTTTGTGTTTAAGTAGTGCATGTAAAAGTTATATAATAAATTTTTCTTAGAAATAAAGGTCGGTTTAGTACAATATTTATGCCACTAAGCATGTTTTGAGTTGGAGGCGACCCCAAAATTAACTTCCATTTCGAGTTCGACGCCTCAAAACAGCAGCTTGTTGTGGAATCGCCCCTAACTCCAAATATATCTTGCAGCGTAAATATTGCGGTTAAATATTTCTTCTTACATACATACCCTATCCAAGCACTTATAACAAAAATGAAGCTTCGGGGTTCGGACACGCAGTTCGGACACGCAGCAAACAGTAAAGGAGGCTGCAGGCTAGCGGGCCCTTGCACCTACCTATATTCGTTACTAGACTGCTGCCACCCCAGGTTCAAGAACCGGCCCCGGATGACGTTTGACGACGCCCGCGCGGAGCCGGAGCAGGAGTTTGAGCTGCACCCGGACAACACGGGCACGCTGGAGTACCCAGTCAAGTGAGTGACAACTCGTTACAATTGCCCCGGTGCCCCGAAACCAGGCGGCGCCGCTCGCCTCCCAAACACCAGGATAGTCAAGTTCTCCAGCGTCCAGCACCTGTCGCTCCACTTCCCGAGCAACTTTGGCGCGGACTCCACGAGGATCTACTACGTGGGCCTCAAGGGAGAGTTCTCCGAGGTAGCTATGGACACTACCCAAAAAAGTGACTGTTTGAACCAGTTGTCTAATTTAAATGATATTTACTGGGCTTGTTTCTGTTGAGAACATTTCTGCCGAATTTCGTTACCTAAGTAAAGTACAAAAAAAAAAAAAAAAAATGCAAATGTTCAAAAATGAAAGTGGGCATGTCTACGTAGAAAAACTATCGTTTTGAAAGTACTTATAAATTTGTCCTTTTCATGTGTTATATTGCTTTAGGAGAGTTCAGAGCAGATAGCTATAGAGCTATATTTCTATATCGTACCATCTTTCATGACAAAAAGCCACATAACCACAAATAGTGTTTTAGATTTCCATCCTTTGTCCAAAATTTTAGTTCTTAAACATAAAAAAAATTACAAAAATAAAAAAATACAAGCTCATAGCTATCTTCCCCTTAAAATTTCACCCCAGGAAAACTCATAAAAATGAATCCAAGTTACGTAATAACAAAACGATAGTTTTCCTAAGGTGAAATTTATGCCGAAAAGTGGAACAAAGAAAAACACGTTCAAAGTGCTCCTACCTCTACCTTTCGTACCGAAAATAATTTATAAAAATTAACTATGCAGTGAAATCTAATGAAACTTTCTGGGAATACTCTCTAGATGTTGGGAGATGTAAATATGACATTTTTCAAAATCAACTGTTTTTGCAGAAATTGTTTTTTCTGGGTAGTGTCCCCCCGGAAGATTTCTGGACCTTAGACTGTTTCTTTTGCCCTGCCTTGTATGTTGGTCATATGAGCCTGTGGACCTTAGACTGTTTCTTTTGCCCTGCCTTGTATGTTGGTCATATGAACCTGGGGGTTAAAAGACACTTCTTGATTACGGTTCGGTTCATTCTAATTCGGTAAAAAAGGGGCGTAGTGAACCGGTGCTTCAAAAACTCTATTTTCAAGTCCTGCCTTTATCCAGTCCAAGTAAGCTTTGCAGTGCAAGTGTCCATGATACAGAAAACGGGTTACCATCACGCCTGTCAACCTCAGCCACTGGACCCCCTAAACAAATCAAAAGAGGTGAAACGTAACCTCGCAAATCACGAGACAGAAACAAAAACCAAAGGCCGGCAGTTATACCCGACATTCGCTGCATATCCCATAACCTCAAGAAGACTGGTAACTTAGTAAATATTGATTTTGTCTCTTCGGTCCCCCGCTCTCAGGTTTATGTAAAAACAATAACGCTGCACCAAAAACCAATATAAGCCGCACAAAAAAAAAAGGCATAAAACCCCGTACATCCCTGGCTCAGAAGGAGTGGTTTATTTCTTCCCCCCTTTGTGTGGCAAACTTTATGTAAGTCAAACAGGAAGATATGTCAACAACAGACTAAAAGAATATAACAACAACGTCTCGGCAGCCGACTCATAACTTCGAGGCACTCACTGCTGCAACTGCGGATGCTCGGCGAACTTCTGAAACTGCTCCGTAATCAGCAAGAATTATGACCCACTCACAAGAAAAGTCATCAAAGCAGCAAGTATCATGAGACAGAGTGAGACATATGTTAGCAATCCTTCTCTATCACTTTTTGAGGAGTTATAGCTGGACTCTATTCTAAGGTGACAGGTGCATTAGACTTTAAAATTGTTTAGAAGAGAACGAAGTACCATGCAGAATAACAGTTGTCTTACTTAGCAGCAGAAAGAGAACAACGAAGTGTGATAAAAAAATTTTTCTTTCTCTTTTTTTTTTGTCGGTGAAAAGGAGCAAGACAAAAATTCAAACAAGAGTCGATAGTCAGTGCAACGCGAGAGGTTCTTTTTTCACAGTGTGCGTGTGGTCTTAGTGTGTGAGTTAGGTATCTTTTGCGTTGTTACCTTTAAGTCATGAATAGCCAACTCGCCCAAGTCTTCATCTTAAGGAGCTGGCAGAAGTTTCTCAGTGATCGAATTAGTGTCGCTAGATGTAGATTGTACCTATGTATATGGCGGTCAACCTATATCGATTCCAACTTTTTGATTTCATTACCGGGGCCGACTCAGCTTCCGCAATGCCGTCGGAGCTACTTGCGCGCACAAGACTCGAGATGAGTCACGTACGGCGTTGCAGGCTTGTGGCACTCAGAAAACCGAGCCAGCCTCAACGGTTTGGCACAAAAACATAAAAGCATGCCCCCCGACACGACTTCTCCGTCCCGCCAGGCTCGTCGCCAGGAGATCCCCATCTGCAGCTACGAACTGGCGCCGAACCCGGCCGACCACAAGGTGAAGGACTTCGAGGCCCTCTCCAAGACCGTCCACTGAGGCAGTAAAAGAAGGGAGACTGGCGCACGTGCATTCTTTATTGGGTACTGCGGGAACACTCCTCACATGCAAACGACGGTGACACGCTGGGCCGGCAAGAAGGGCCCTTCGCCTACGACAACATTCAGACGACCGAGGGAGGGCAGAGAGCTATCTACACGAGCCCACCGTCGGCGGCGCAGGCCGGACAGGAACGGGGGGGTGGGCGGCCTAGACACAGACACGAGACGCACGAGAGAAGGGTGGCACCGCGACCGATTGCTAGGTGAAGCACCATGGAGGGCCGCAAGCGGGGCACGAGGTACGTCGGCCTTCCCGGGACAGCCGGGGAGTAGCGACCAGGCGGCGTCTTGCGCGGCCTCGCCGCTCGCAGGGAGGTTGTGGGGGAAGGTGGTGCGTCGTGGCAACCCGATGCTCGGGTCTGGCAGTGGCTGCGACGAGGGCCACGCAGCGGCGGCGGTAGTGGTGGCGGTGGTGGTGTTGGTGGGGTGGGACGTTGTCGTTGTAATCCGGGGAAAACCGGGTTTGCGGGGGGTTGAGGCTTCGAGGGAGGGATCGGGGGCGGGGTCCCGTTTCCCGAGGGGAGGGAAGGCTCTGCATCCGTGGGCAGAGCCGGTGCCCATGGGAGGGGAAGCCCCACCCTTGGGGGCGGAGCCAGTCCCAGTGGGAGGGATGTGTCCTCCTGAGGCGCAGCCGACATTTGAGAGAGATTGTTTTCTTCTAGGGGTGGAGCAACTTCCGAAGACAAAGGCTACGCCTTCGACGAGGGAGGGAGACCTCCCACGGGGACAGATCCCCTCCCTACGGGAAAGGGCGGCTGGGAAGGAAGAGGGGGCAGTGCTCGAGATCCCTCTCGGAGACGTCAATCCCGAGGCAGACGGGAGTCGGGGCTACGCCCGCCGCGACCTCCAGCCCCGCCCCCCGGCTCTACCCCCGCAGGGGTGCAGCCAGTGGGGGCGGGGCCGACGGGCGGGGGCGTGTGGCCCCACCTACATGTCGCCGAAGATACCAGCGAACGTCTTGCGCAGATTTCTCATGGTGTCGTCGGGGTCCTCGGATTTTTCGCTCGACTGGCTCTCTCGCCGGAACAGGGAAGCCGGGCCCCCCTGTGGTCTCTGCGGGGGTGGCGGGGGGTTGCCGGCCCCGGAGGAGCCCCTCTGCAGGCGCTGTGGGTCCGTGGGCATCGGCCCGCGAGGCTGCGGGGGCGGGCCCGGGGGCGGACCCGACGGGGGACCGCCCACAGACTGCGGCACGGAAGACGCTCGGTCACGACGACGGCGACCGCGTTGGCAATGCGGAACTGAGGAAGGTGGAGCTGAACGAACCAAGGTGAGGAATGGGTGCCGTGCATTCCCAACGGAAAATACAAAAATCAAACCAGGATGGAGTGAGCAGCTCTAGGTGGTGCAGGTTACCTCAGGAGAGCTATTCAAGGGGGAACCTTGGACAATGACCGTTCATGAAGCGCAGCATTTTTCTTTCGCTCTTTCCACAGTTCAGATGTACTTACTAGCTGTGAGGGTGAACTGGTGCTGAGTGTCCTGCTGCTGCATCGTGGAAGCGAGTGCACTCGTGCTAGGAACACATTGAATGGAGCACGCACAATGTGCACCTTCCTAATCAGAAATGTGCAAAGTGGGACATTTTGATAATGCCAGGCTGCTATACACTTCCATATTTATTTTGAAAATGGAAGGGGAGGTTGAGGAAGAAAGCTGATAGAGCGGCTTGACACAACCCTCGGCTCCCCACATGAGGTTGCTAGAGAAAGGATAAAAGCATTTTTCTGCCCAGCATTGCTGGTGAGAGCGGAGTAGCTTAGTTTTATGTGAATGCTAATACAGTAAAACCTCGTTATAACAAAACGGGATATAACAAACTAATGGATATAACAAAGCAATCATAATTCCCCTTGCTTGCTAATAGTGGGAAGAAATGGACATTGGCTATAACAAACTAATGGTTATAACGAAATAATTACGACCGCTCCTTCAACTTTGTTATAACGAGGTTTTACTGTAGCTATAAAGACAATACATGGGTGCACTTTGGAGTTTTAGCGACCAGTGTACTACATAGTCCTGTGATTGGAGTTGGTGTGGAGGTAATGAAAGTTAACGCTCATTGAATTCAATGGCGCAACTATACAAAATTAGTTTATCCTCGTTTCCTTTTTGTCTTCGGGGCCACCAATTGCGGAAGTTTGCACGCCCCATCTGCTCGTCGTCACAATGTCTAGTTAACTCGCCGCGCGATTCGAGCTCAATCTCTTCCGCCATTTCCTTGTGAAAGGCAGAAAAACAAGCCTCCGTTTCTTAATCAAGACTTCCAATGGAATGAGAAGGTTCCGGCAGGAGGTCACTTGGCAGCCGACTAGGGCACAAAACCTGGTTGCAAAGCAACACAGCACCAGCAGTCGAGTGGTGGAACGAGGAGTTTTAACGAGCCACTTGGGACGCTTTCTGTCACCGACTTGGGGGGTTAGCTTCCTGCACCGTCTGTGCTCTGTAAAAGTAACTCAACAAAACAAAACTTAGAAGGGGGGGGGGGGGGGAGGGGGGGGGGGAGAAAACAATAATCCATTAAAAGTATGGGAGCAAACAGAGTATACCAATAACGTTGACCGAGGAGGGACTTGACGTGAGTGGGGTCCCGCTTACCTGTGGGGGCACGTTCTGCTCCTGCGGAGGGTGCTCCTCGGGGGCCCTGGGGGGCACGGTGGGGGCAGTGGGCTGCTTCCTGCGGGAAAAGCGCTCCAGATGAGGCTCGGAACAAATTAAGGTGCAGGATGTGGCCCATTCCACTAGCAGCTAACAAGTGCTCGCAGATTCCGAACTCTGAGCATCTGGTCTCAGCAGTGTAGGGATGGCGCAAAAGGATACACAGTGCAGCAAACAAAGATGCTCTGCTCGCCGGCGGCGGCGCTGAGAGGCCGCCACCGCTACGGCGTTGTTCTAGCCCTTCTCCCTGCCACTCGCCCACCCACCTCTCCGACGTTTGGCCAGCTCCGCGTACAGCACGAACAGCCTAAGCTCGTGAGGCAAAAAACTTGACATACCCTTTCCACGGGAGAGTGAGCATACCCTCAAGTGAGCTGTGTACTTTTTGTGCATTTTGATCGACGGCACTGCATCCCTCTGCGTCCCGACTACTTTCGGTCGTCAAGTACCGCTAGTGCAATCTGCAATCGCTGTTGGGACTGCAATGAGGATGCTAACGCAAATATCAAAACTGAAATGCTGCGAGTGACTACGGACCAAAGTTCTCCGCGGGTGATCAGCGCGGCAAACTCCTCTGGATTGCTCGATGCGCTCCGCCACTTTTCTACACATCAAATGGAGCCGTTCAGAGAGAAAGAGAGATCCATCTCTGTCTCGCTCATACTCACTCACTTACACACTCCTGCACAGTCGCAGGGAGTACAAGAATTTGCCATCTGGGGGCTTAATGCACAAGCAGGAAGACTGGAACCTCCAATGAGATTGTACTGTTTCTACGCAGTTTACTCCACCAGGAAATTGCATTCCAAATTACGGGACTTTGATTTTTCACAAAAACCCACCCTTTCAGCGACATAGTTATCAACGTATCGAAGTGGAAGAAATGGCGCGAAGGACAGAAGACAAGTAGAAGCACGCGCACAGAGTACTGTGCGTGCATGGTTCTACTTGTCTGCCGTCTTTCGCGCCGTTTGTTCCACCTCGATCATCCAACGCCCAACTCCACGCCTTGTAATTCTCGACGGTAAAAGGGTGTACATGGTACACGTGCCGGACAAAAGAAGACTGCAAGGCTTTCGATACCGGTGACTGCACTCGTTTTCCCATGCCCAAAAAGCCTCGATAAGACTTGGCAGCACAAAAGTCTAGCACTATGCATGTCCACTGGATGGATGGATGGATGGTAATGGCTATACCCTTTGTAACGGGCGGCAGCTTGCGCCACCTAGCCTAACATTTCGTCATCCCTTCTATTTTTTTTTTTTTTTGTATGAATTTTGTTATAACAGTCCCCCCTCTCTTTTAAATTGAATTTATTGCCTATTTTTATATGTATTTGTTTTTTATCCTTCCCTAAATCTCTTCCACCAATCTTCCAATCTCCTCTTAGTTACCGCAATTCTTTCCCTATCCATTCGTCCATTCATGTCCGGAAAACCCAGCGCCCCCTCCAAATCCGTAGTCATCCCCCCCAAGAGGGTGGGACGAAGCCCCGTGCACCTTAAAATTACATGTTCTATAGTTTCCCTTTCGCGGTTGCATACGTCACACAGAGTGTCTACTTCCTGAAATTTAGCCCTATACGTTTTCGTTCGCAGCACCCCCGTTCTAGCCTCAAACAGCAAAGAGCTCCCCACTGAATTATCATACAGCTGTTCCTTCTTTATTTCTTGTTTTTGTGCCCTGTATATTGCTAAAGCTGATTTCCCCTGCATTCTCTCTTCCCACAATTTCCTCTCTGTTTCCTTTACTCCCTTTTCTACTGTTATGCTCTGATCGGCTCCATCTCGTTGAATGTATTTAAATCTCAACTTGCGGGTTCGGTTTGTCCACCTAGTGTTTAGACTTTTCATATATAGATACTTGTACACTTTCGCTGCCCACCGTGTATCCTCAATTTCAGCTAGTCTTTGTTCAAATTTTACTTTACTGATCGCTTCTCTACTCTCAAAAGATGCCCAACCCGTATCCCCCTGTACTCCCTCATTTGGTGTATTCCCATGTGCCCCCAATGCCAACCTACCCACACTCCTTTGCTGTATCTCTAAACCTGCCTGAATTTCTGACCTCATACACAATACCGCATTCCCAAATGACAGTCCTGGCACCATGACTCCCTTCCATACACCCCTAACAACTTCATATCTATTATAGTTCCATAGTGCCCTGTGTTTCATGATAGCCGAATCTCGTTTCCCCATCTTTATTACAATAATGTCTGTCCGTCCAGGGTTGCCAGCATATGAGTAGAGATGTACTTATTCTCCTTGCATTCAGCCACAACCTCGATCCTCAACTACATTCCCTTATGAACCCCGACTTATGAAAAACGGACAGAGGGCCAGGAAGGAAGCGCTTACGGAGGTGCGGTGCCGGGGGGCCTGCAGTACTGTTGCATGCGCTGCAGGACCAGCTCTGCGATGAGGCGACGGTCTTCCTCCTGCGTCTCTCCCAGGAGCTGCATAGCAGAGTCATTGGCCTGCAGGAGAAGGTAACCACACCACAAATTAACTCATTTGGAAAGCAGCAACTGCTTTCCCAAACACCCATGATGATGGGTCTGAGAAAAAGCAACTTGTAGAGAGCAAGAATGTGCAGTTACCGTATTCTCCGGTCTATAAGTCGCACCTTTGTGTAAATGACACCACCCCATAAACGGCCCTTTTCACAAAAAACTCGGTAAGTCACACTTTTTTGTACATGATTAATGGGACACTGCAAATAGCACCATATTCGGACCATTAAAAGAGCAGGTCCTCACAGGGTGCTCTGCCATTCCTTCATTGTCGTAAATGTAGATATGGCCTACATCTTGCACAGTTAAGGTCTACACATGAAAAAAAATCTGTATGAATTGCGCTGTTGTATCCGACACACTGACAAAACTTTTGGAGAAAAAATGCCACTTGTGTGTTGGAAAAAATGGCATGTGCAGTTTTTTCAAAAGGCCGTTAATGAAAGAAATTTCCAGAAGTCATTTACACGTCAGACAGTCCTGTTGTCTACTGAAAATGATCAAGGAGAAAAGTCAATAATTTCACGTAGATGCAGAAAGTGCAATGAACTTGGTCTGTATAATTCCAGTCTCCAATAAGATGGGAATATTGGAAAAACCAACATAACACAATGAAAAACCAGCTCTACCAAAAGACTGCACTTCATTGCTAGAGTCATGGTTGAATATGCCATCGCTGGGAGCATGCCAAACTAAAAAACATACTATAGTTCAGTGACGGCTACCAGAATCAAATTGGGACCATTTTAATGCTAAATCAGGTTGATATTTTCTTTTTCCACTTTTTGGTTTGGCAGTTTTGAAACTACAGTTTTCATCGAGGGACAGAAAACGGCAATTTAAATGTCTCAATCAAAACAAGCAGTAAAACTATACTCCGTCTCACCCTACGATGGACTAAAACCTGAAGGCTGGCAGGCAGAGCACTACTTCAGAAAAGCTTGCATCCGCATTGCAAAGGAGTGCGCAATAGAAATTCGCTACGCAAACTACGAAGAACACTAATCGTACGCATATGGTTCTCTGGTGTGATAGACCGCTATTTTATATTGGTGAAGTAAAGGTACATGATATTTAGTTTCATAAACATTCATGACCATATTTAATAAACATGTCAACTGTTTGGAGAAATGAAGGGTGTGCAGACAACAGTGGCGTAAAGTTGTTTCGCCTTGGCCATAACAATCCAATCCAATCTTTGTGTACGTAAAATGTACTTGGACCCGTATCTTCTTTCCGCACGTGGTCCGTACATACGCTCCCGTTATCGAACTTTCAATCCGAATCGTCTTCATTTCTTAATGGCCTCTGTTTCTGATCCCGGGTTCTTTTCGCCACATTGCTTTTAGATGGTATTTAATCGCTTCAGTAGTCTTCAGTAGCAGCAAGCAGAAGGAGCCGCCCAGAGGGCTTGAATAGCAGACGAAAAACTCCTCCACATGACGCGTCTTGGCGCACTGATACGTACGACGGAGCAAATATACCATGTGGTTTCTAACAGGCTCGTGATTGGACCCAGTGGCCTGTAGCATTGGGTTTTAGTCCATCGTAGGATGAGAGGGAGTATATTAATCGCTTCTGTTGTGAGATCTACAACCCCTTAGTATATATAGTTCTCACGTGACGTCACTTCCTCTACTCCCGGCCGCCATTGTCAGGCACAGAGAAGCAGACGTGAACGCTGCCGCCGCCGCATGTGTGCCACTCGATTGCTACTTTGCTTCGTCTAAAGTGAAGATGTGCGACGGCGTCAATCCGCACACACTATGCGTCGGCACAGACACCACTCCAGATGCGGATGTGCAGCCAGCCATGACACACCTGGACATAATTAACTACTTGGTTTTGCCGCCGAACTATGTGTTGCTGCAACAGATGAAGGCCCTCAAGGCCCAGGATGCCCATAACTATTTCATGAGTGGATGGGTGAAGAGCCTGACAGCGATGCGTCTCCCATTGAAGCGTATTGTCGAACAGAGCGAGGCGAGTTGACAGACAATAAAACCAGCGTCTTTATGAGAGCCGAAGGTTTGCCTGCAAACGAAGAGATGTGCCCGTACTTGGCGCATTACAATATGCAACATTTTAGCTGGGTAAACTCGGCGCTGATGCCGCAAAACTATAGACACAAGTCTGCTACAAACACTACACAATTATAGAAAAGCTGCAAGAAAGGTAAAGTATGTCCATGCAGCGTGACGCTACCAGACACCAAACACTGCCTCGGCCGCTATGGCAATGCGCACAGGGTGCGAACAGAAGCATCCAGCAATCCACGTGCAGTTGGGCAACGTATTTCTTACTGGCAATGAAGTGGCGACCGCAGACACGGACACTTCCGATGTATGCGGGCAAGCCAGAGGCTTCGGCGTTTCTCGGACAGCAGCTTTGTAAGCTCACACTGTCCCGTTATCACCATCAACCATCGGTGCAGCCCTACATTTGGCTCTGGGTTACTCTGCTGTGCAGAGGACTTGCGTCTGCTTCGGCAGCCGAACATCGCACACATCGGCATAACTGTGCCACTGCAACCGCGACCGCACACCAGAAGAAAGATATGTGCACTGTGTGCGCCGCAGATACTGTAGCGACGCAGCCAACGCAGCAGCGGCCAACGTTGCCGGCACCAATCCAGACACCGAAACTATATCAGTACCTGGTAATGGCGCCGACATATCCCACAGGCACCGGCTGTGACGTCCGTGAGAACTACGTATACACAATGAAATGTGGGTAAAACTCAAGCAAATGGTTAGAATGAGCAATTGGTGTAAGTCACACATTAGGTAATCTTTAAAAGTGCTCCAGCCCTTGCCACCTTGTGGCAGACACCTGCACTTGCGTGCAAAGGAATTCAATCCCTAATCATTAATTTGACCACACGCATAGTAAAGGACAACTCTACCCTACCCACACTTAAAAGGGCCCTGCAACGGCTTTTTTTACTGTTTTATTTTTTTAATTTGCACTGAACTTGAGCGCACTGAATGTAGTAACTCGATGAACGTTTTCTTTTCTCAAAATTCGCTTTATTTTAAAGGTTATATGCATATTAAAATTACAAAAACAAGCAAAAAATAACCTCCTTCATGACGTCCTTGGTCCTCTGTCCCCCCTTTTCCCGCGCCCGCAGACCGCGGTGATTGAGGAATGTGGGGAGGGAGGGGAAGACTGAAAAAAGGAGGCAAGGTCGAGGAGAGAGAGCAGCCCGGGAACGGAGAGTTCTTTCTCTCCTTGCCTGGCCAGGACCAACGTCACGATTTCGTCACATGCCACACGCGTTCGACACCACGGGGCGCCGCTGTAGGAGAAGGAGGTTTCCACGTCATCCGGTTAAAATCTGATGGACTGATATTTAGTTACTCTCTCCGTGCCCGCTGGGTTGCCCGAACCACAAGGGACGTGGAAACCGCAAAAAAGGTAAGCACTTAAATAGGTTTGTAGGGCCCCTTTAACAAAGCTGAAAGTCAGCCTACCTGCAGCTGGATTACAGAACTGGTCTTGGCTGGATCAAGCTTTAAATGAGATAAAATCCAGCTAAGACCACTTGCATAATCTGGCTGCAAATGGACCAAATTTCCCCTGGGAATCGGGGATCCCGGCATTTAAAGAGGGCAAGGGGTCCCACCTCCGTGATGTACTCTCGGCCATCCTTGCCCTGAATGGCCTCGACGGCGCAGATGTCGAGGCCGCCAAAGAGCTCCGAGACGGCATCCACCCACTGCTTGTAGCGCTCCGTCATGGGCACCTGCTCCAGGATGGCCGAGCCAATGTTGGCCTTCCAGTTGCCGCTGATGCTCTTACGCCTGCGTCGTCGTCATCATCATCATCATGCGGTGTACATGCTGAGCGAGCTCATTTAAAGCCTGACCTACAAAAAGTTTTTCTGCAAGGTAGGAAAATCCTTCTTGCCACACCTCCCATTTCCCCCTCTCCCACTGCTATCTTGACTCGGAGGGATTTCCTTTTGTTGAGGCCAGATAAGCTTCCATGTTTATCTGGCCCCAAAAAGCAGCAACAAAGCCCAACCCCCTCCCCTAAAACGTGTATAGTAATAGTAATTATTCTGTTTAAAAAAATGCTGACACCCCCCAAGAAAAAAATGACTGCATCTCCACGTGGTGAACGATGTTGATTGGGGAGAAGCTCTGGTGGTGCTGATGATACTGGTTTTATTGTTCATAGGTAGTGCTGACTTTTTTTTTTATTGCTCATAGGTAGTGCTGAGTTCCAAGTTGCGTTTCAGCTTGATTATTACTGCTTTATGGTCAGTGAAATGCAGAACCAGTGGTTCTTCTAGGGGATCAGCTTTGATCCGCTTGAAGCCGTGGGAACGTATCTCCACCGCTTAAGTCAACGGTCCACAGGGGCGGATTTATGGCTAAGGTTTGGGGGGGGCGGTGAGGATTTTTTTTTTTTTTGCTCGCGGGCTAGCGATTTTTGAGGCACCTACAAAAAGCAACTATTAATCGTGTTTTAGCGTTTGTTACAGCCTAAAAATTCCCACCAAATTTGTATTAGTTTCTTGTTCTTTTATATAAACCCGCACCTGTTGCTTCAGTGGTTCAAAGGTTAGCACTATAAGTGGTAAAAAACAAAAATAGAGATAGAGAAAGACATACGTATGCATGGTTCTAAATTCTTTGTCTAAACCATTTAAGCAACACGGGCAATTGAGGCACCCGGTGTGAAAGAGTTTGTGCAGGGACTCGATCAAACAAGATACATCAATTTAGACAAAAAAAAAAACAACAAAAAAAAACACCACAAAGACCGGAGAGGAAAGGATTTGTTAGCAAGACAAATGTAAGACGGCCGAATAATATGGAGACTTTCTAAATCCTGGACGAACGTGATCAAAATACCTTCTTAATTGCATTGTTATTTTATTGACTCACTCTCGAAAATGCAGAGTTCTTGAGAAAAGTGAGCATTTTGTTGGAGTAATTAAACTCTGTTCGATTCTTTATGGTCTTGTGGATCCGTGAAACCAATAAAAAAACAAAAATGCCAGCTCAAATGGTCTTCAGCGCAGTGCCTAGACAAATTGCATGGAGCAACATTAAACTTATTTATTAAACAGATTCATGTTTATCTAATGAGATGAAGAAAAAAAAAAAACCTACATTTGGGGAGGATAAAATAGAGACATAATTATTTACACAAGTTATCAAATTAAATGTTCTTCATCTTCAGAGCACGAACATCGCCTTCCTTCGTCGTGCTCCCTGCGCGTAGCGGTCTACCACCTTCTCTTGGTCGACGTTCACGTCTCGGTGGACGTGGAGGAGGGCAAGACCGTTGAGTCTCTTTTCGCCGCACCGCGATCGAATCCAAGTTTTAATTCGACGAAGGGTGGAGAAAGACCGCTCAGCCGTCGCAACACTAACGGGCAGTGTAGCGAGAACGCGCAGCAGAGTCCTGATGTTCGGATAGAGCTCTGGCTCCGACTCTTCAAGTGTCTCCACAGCTGTCGATGGAAGAGGCCCCTTCTCTTGTTCGCGTCTCCATTTCGCCGCCCACAGTGAAAATTCGGCTCTGATGATGGTCTGCAAAGCTACGTCCCCCATTCCGAGGAGCACGCCGTATTTTGCCGCCAGGATGCTGAGCTTTGCTTCAGCTCCCTTCTCATTCACATGGCGAGGCAAAAGTGTGTTGAGGCTGTACACCTCCAGCACCTCTTCCGGAAAACGCTGCTTAAGATCTTCCACGACAGATTCCACAAGAGGAATGTATACATGTGCGCGGAAGTATGACTCGGCTGTCTGTGGAGGCAATTTTTCGCAGCTCATTTGTCGTTGGACTAGACGAGGCACATCTAGTTGCGCTCCCATATTCTCGGCAATTTCTTCTGCATGCGCGAAAATTTCTCTGAAAGTCTTCTCGACGTTTAATGGGTTCCGCTTTTCGCTCAGGACGACGATCGTGTCTTTTACGATGTCCGAGGCACTGTTCATTTCCAGATCCGGCTTTTGGAGCAGCCGACTTAGGGGAAGCGTGACTGAGAGTACATCGTAGAGAGCTACGGTTGCAATTACAAATTCGGCATCCAGGATTGAGATAAGCAGTGATCTTGCCTTGGCAGCCGAGCTTGGTTCTCGCCATTGCGAAACCGTTTCCAACGCCTTTGCGATGCTTCCCAGGCTCTCTCTAAACTGCAAAACAGCGTCGTGACGTTCGACCCAACGTGTGTCGCATAACTTGGTCAGCTGTTTGCCAAGCTGGAGTTTCAAAACGGCGTTACGCTTGGGCGAGGCCGTAAAAAACGCAATGACTTCCCGCATTGTCCCGGTGGTGTTTCGGACACTTTGCACAGTTGATGTTTTGGATATAGAAAGGTTCAAGCTGTGGTTGAAGCAGGGGCATCGAACTGCATGCACGGCTACTTTTTGGATTTCCTGAATGGCACCGCAGAGCTCGGAAGTCATTACTGAGCATCCGTCTGTTGCAATGCCTACACAGCCTTTGGGGTTGAGAGACAATGACCTCAGTAGACTTAGCACGATTTTTCCGAGCTTGGTACCAGTCAGTGTTGGCTCCAGTGCGTCGTCTTCGTCTTGCTCTTCCTCGTCGGACCCGCTGTCCGACATGGACGAATTCCGATTCTGATTTGAATCTTGAGGCTTGAGTTCTCGAGGATCTAAGAAACCCACAAAATCTTCTCTGATCTTTAAATCATGTTCATACCTCAAAACAAGAGATAGCTGAGACTTGTGAGCCACGTCGGTTGTCTCGTCGAACATAATGCCATAATATTTGCTCTGCCGAACTCGTGCCAAGATCACGGACAGAACTTCGTCTCCGCAACATTCAATAAGGGCATTTTGAGTTGTTTTGCTTGTGAACATCTTCCTTCCTGTGGCTGTGGAGAGATGTTTTTCGAGGGCATGGTCACCACATTTCACTCTGAAGCGCAGCAGCTCCTTGAAGTTTCCTCCATTCTCTGAACTGTCATTGCCGTTCTTCCCAGTGACCACTGGGCCGTCATCCCGATGTCCACGGAAGGCAATATTCTGCCGGGCCAAGAACACAACGTTGTCGACAATCGAGACAAGCCGCGCGCGGTTTTCAGACACCTGCCGCATTCGCTGTGTATCGATCTGGTTTGCCACGACCCTTGCTGGGTCGCGACAAGCTTTCAGAAAAGCCTTGCCCGCTTCCACTGCTTCGATGTGATATCTAGCTTTGGAATGGGTTTCCAAAGCTCCATCTTTCCCCAGAAGCTTCGCGAATTTTTTCAAAGGCTCCGTTACAAGAGCCTGAAGGGCAACTGTCTTGTGTTTACCCCCAATGTGCCCGGTGGCAAAAAGAGGACAAAATTTGCAGAACAAACCTGCCTTGGCATCCGAGACAACCAGCCAAGGATATTTCAGCAGGTGGTCACTTCTGACGTACCTCCGTTCGACTGTCTGTCCCTTGTTGTGTTCGGAGAAAGGGAAGGAGTAACCTTGAGGTGGCATCCAATGGTGTTCGAGTAAGCCAACCACGGTGTGGTCGTCTGGCCTCGCCCCAACGAAGTTGCCAATGTCATATTGCAAACCAAAGTCAGCCGCTGGATTCCGAACTGTGTGGACGGCTGGATCTAGTGGGGTAGTTCCGTCAAAATTCTTGACCATGGGCGACGGGAGAGCCTCAATCTTGAGTTGTTCATCCACGCCATCAGACTTCAAAGTGAGCTTCGAGTCGTTGCTTGCAATGTCTGCCTCAGTGATAATCTTTTTGGGCACAGCTTGGAAGAAGTTATGCAGAGTGGTACTTTTCCGCTTGGACGACTTTGGTGGACCATCTTCACTCTATGTAAAAACAACTTGTTTTACTAAACAGATAGAACTCATTCATAAGTGACGTAATTTATAAATACCACGAGTGACTGAATCAGCACTAATTACCAATATCAGCTGTGCGATCTTATGCGTCTCAAGCCGAAGTGTAAATAGAACGTGAAAGTAGTAAAGGCTGCGTACACAAATACAAAGAAAATCTATTAGAAAAAATAGCTCAATATAACATACCAAGTCCCAAACGCTGGTTGGCTGGGGGTTCTTAAAACCATCAGTGTCTTTCCACGCCACGAAAGGATTTAGTGAGCGAATTTCGCATAAATATTTTGATTATCCATCGACCGAAAGAAACGCCGCACACAGTCTATGACTAATTTTTATGCATAGAAAGAGGAGGAAACAATTAATGTCTGCAGCGCGACGTTTTCGTTATGTCGCTGCGGATGGTGGAAAAGAAACGAACAGTCCACACGTTTCATTTAGCTTTTTTTTTTCCTTACTACCTATGTCAATTACTTTTCCGGCATGGGTCACGGCTACCAACCACCTCATACGCGAGCGAAGTGCAGAAAATGCCTCGTTATGATTTGTCGAAAGAGCAACGTCATTTTACGGCCTAAAGTGCAACTCACCATTGTAGCGGCTGCAGAACTCGACTCCCGGTTACTTCATCCGCCTTGGGCTCACTTTGTCTCTGGAGGTCAACAGCACTTTCTCGCTACCGGCCGAATCACTGTTTTGCCCAGGAGTGAACGTGTGAACGACAGGTCGAAAGCGCCGCCACTAAGCTCGAACGTGCGCGTCACCACGTCTTCCATGTCAATCGTCACTGAAAAACAGCGATCCGCGACGGAGAAGGGATGAATGGTGCAACACGGTAAAGAAGTCCACGTTTGGTTTCCCTCGCGGATCTTGGAGCTGCACTGTTCTCGGCGCTCTAAACTACCCAACTGACTCCCCTTCAAAGTAGCCTGACCGACCGTTCCTAACTTGTGAAACGTGAGCGCTGGCGTTCCCGAGTTACCTTCGCTCAGGCCCGGCGGCGCATCACTCAGAGCCCACACACGCACGCGTGTACAATGTGGTGACCTACGTTGCTGACCGCTCGAGAGAACTCGCCCTGCCTCGTGGCCTTGCTGCGCTCCTCCCGCTTCGGGAGAACGTAGCCGAGGAGAGGGGAATGCCCGTCGCCTAAGACGGGAAGCGAAAATGAACCAGTTGAGCTTTGGTATGCGCGCTCTCTTTGTATTTCTTGTTGACCTCGCTATCGCCATCTCAACAACACCTTGTTATGACCCGTCCCACCTCCATGTGTGTGTGAGTGCGTGGGAAGGTCATCGAAGCATTTTCCCAGTCGTTAAGACCACTTTGGGGGAAGGTTTCGCCGAGGCTTAGCCGAACGCTCGGGGCCTTGCCAGTCTGGCTGGCGTCAGTCGCTTCCGGGGAAGCGCCGCTCAAGGACTCCTCTCCCTCACGTCACGTGTCAACCCTTCGGACTTCTACCTGCGGCTGGCGCCGAGGCGGCGGAACGCGACAATGTGTGTTCCGTGCTTTCCCGATTCTTATCCGCCACGGTGGCGGGAGGGGAGATTAAACGGAGCCGGCTGTCTGCGGGGAAACAATCCAGGGAGCGTCCAGCAGCCAATTGAAGACCTTGGAGATGTTTCCCATCCCCATTCGCAGGATTCCAAAGTGGGGGGATAATCGTCGTCTTCAGGTCCGATTGTTCGGGAGATGGTCGTCTTCGATCACATATTTTGCTATGAAGTGAGAAAGGCTGGACGCCAGCGAGATGACCATGCTACCCGAGAGACATGGCTGGGCGTCGACACCGAACAACCTCCCCTCCACCCCTTTATCCGAGTCTTGCGGTAATAGTGGACTTTTCCCGCCTCTCTTCGCCTTTCAACCAGTGGTGCCAATTCAGCGGCACAGGATGGCTCTACAGAGGGACGGAGGGAGGAGGGAGCCTCGATACCAAAGCCGCCGCCTTCGTACAGGGTGGAGAGACGCTTTGGACGAGCCCGCGCCGCAAAGCTGCTATCTTAGGTTCTGAACTTTGAACAAACACCGCTTTCCCTTCGCCGGTACATTTCGCGTCTGGTAAACTTGTCCACTCCTGTCTCTCCATTTTTTTTATTAAATAACAAAGACGTTGCCAAGGAAAAACAGAAGGCCGAATCTACTGTCCTGCGTCGGTAGCACAGATCTAGTTTGCTGACCAAATAATCGCTACTTGACCAAAACCAAATACTAAAAAAAAAAAAAAAAAAATTCAGAATTGTTTTGGGGGGGGCGGCCGCCCCCCCCCCCCGCCCCCCCCCCCCTAAATCCGCCCCTGACGGTCCATGTCAGAAAGAGAATGTGTGGTATGGAACGTGGTTATATACGCATTTGAGCATTTGACCGCAGCGCCTTCTCATCTATAAACGTTGAGCAAATGCATGCAAAGTTTAACGCGATTATATACGCATTTCTCCGCAGTGCCCTCTCCTGTATAGACGTTGAGCGACTACATGCAACGTTTCATTGATGACAGAAACCCCAGCTCTTGAGTTACTACCACATCTCAGAGCCCCCTACTCGTCCCGCAGTTGTGGTCGAGTGGTTAAGGCGATGGACTACAAATCCATTGGGGTCTCCCCGCACAGGTTGGAATCCTGCCGACTGCGCAAACATTTTTTTCTTTTTATGTGAGTGCGGACGCCGGCCGGACAGACGGATGGATGGATTGACAAGGCTAAACCCTAAAGGGCTTCGCCCCTAAAAAAAATGTTTTTAAAATTTTTTGTTAGGCGATTTTTATATAGCGTCGGAAGACTACCCAATCAATATTTTGCTACGTCACAGATATTTTTAATAAAGTAATAAAAAGGCAAATAAGAAGAAATATATTGAGAGCTGCCAAAAATCACGTAACTGTTCAGCTTTTTTTTTTTTTTTTTTTTTTAAATGCATATTTGCAGTTTTTTGGAGCCACAAAAAATGGGTATCTTAATGTTTTCTATATTTAATATTGAGTATGTGTTTTCGATGACCCACGACTTTGATTATATTTTGTGTGTGTGCCTAAACCATAGTGAACTGCACGTGACCACAGAGAAGAGAGTGAGCGCGACTTGAACCAACCAGTTGTCGATCGGCGGTTTTCGGGCAGAACAGAAACGAATTTCGAGCCGCAGATTGTCTTCTGGGTAGACGGGCTCTCGTATGTCACGTACAAATAAAAACCTTGGCAAGCATAGATATCCTGTCAGTGTCCCTTTAAACAAGCGAGCGACGTTGGCGCCGCACGTGCGACTGAGAGGACAAGCAACCTGCCGAGGGGTGCGCGTACGCACACGAAGGCCTTGTAGCTGGTGCCGATCTTCTGGACGTGGAGGTCGCAGCGCGTGTCCACCAGGGGCTCGACGACGCAGTAGCTGCCCGTCAGGGCCACCACGCTGGCCACCTCCTGGAAGTCCTGGTTGTTCTCCACCTTCATCTTGCCCAGGCCGCCGTGTGCATGCCCCACCTTCACCACGCACGGGAACTTGTTGGCCGTCAGCTGCGAGGAACGGGCGCACGGTCAGGATACGCGCTCCGACGCGTACAACGTCATGTACGCGCTGGAGCCGAAGAATAAGCTATGCTACAAATTAACGACACTTTGGCTATCTTGGCGCTTTCATGGCTGCCAGGTGTCTGAAGCTTTATCCAAAATCACGGGAAACGGATTTCCGTCATCTAGAAACGTTTAAACGGTCCACGAAAAAGCAAAACGATATCGCCCGAGGTTCCCGGCGCCATTATCTGAAGATGAAACCGTATTTTCAGATCGTAATGAGCAAAAAGAGTGTCCGCTTTGAACTAAGCACTAAAATGGCGACGCACAAGATAATCTGGAAATAGAGTGGTGATACTCTAAGTTAGGCTAGCAGGCACTCCATGCGATGGGCGTACCAACCGGGGGGGGGGGGGGGGGGGGGGGGGGGGGGCAAGCTTGCCCTTTCCACCAGTTTTCAGAATAGGGTGGGGGGGGCAATGCATGTGTTTTGCCCCCCCCCCCCCTTCCCTCTGAAACAGCCGCTACTGGGCGGGGCAAACACTGGCCGGCTGCGCTCAAGGGATACCAAGAACACTGGGCCCCGCCCCAGGGGTGGTGTCTGGTTTGCCCCCCCCCCCCCCCCTACACACACTAAAAACAAGTTGGTACGCCACTGCTCCAAGCATACGGGTTGACCTTTCTGCCAGCCGCACATGCCTCCAGTGTTCACTCTTTTTTTTTTTTTTATGTGTGCAAATAAAGATCAAGATTTTGTGGCTCTATCACATACCATTGTTTGTAAAAAAAATCGCAGCCCAGCATGCCCTTCCAGAATCCCTTTTCTAGAATTCTCTATAAGCTGTCACGAACACCGGGACTCGCCTTAAAATCGACCGTAAAAACAGGCACTTGCACGTAGCGATTTCAAATTTTCATCAGAGACATATTTTAATGGTGCATTTTACGTTGTAGAATTTCAGGGAATTTTGCACTAAATTGAGAACAACACACATGACTTCGACAGTGGACACCGACACATTGTTAAACAAGGGTAGTGTGCGTTTCCAACTGCTCGATCAGTGTCTCAAGGTTTACGGACTGCATTCGCAGTGTGAGATGCGAGGAGGAGGCAAAGCATCAAACGCCGCCAACCATCTTCCTCGCCACGCGACAATGCATGCACGTGCATATGCACCCAATGTGCACAGGAGGCAGGGGCTCCGGAACCGGGGGTGGGGCAGTCACCCCCACAGGTTCTAAACCAGTGGGGGCATGCCCTAGCTCCCCCCCCTCCCCACACTCAAAACTGTTTCGACTGCCCCACCCCCCCCTCTTCTCCCCTTTCACCACCCGTGATACTGACGCATGTTGAATATATATATATGTCAACATGCAACAGCCATATATGTATGTATATATATATATCACATACAGAGAAAGAGAGAGAAAACATAGTGCAGGGTGCGGAAAAGTATATACAGCAGAAAAACGTACTTGAGGCGGTTGTTTGGAGTTTTATAACGTATAGACCCTTTCTTTAAGGGCGCCGCCATCTTGAAATGTCGTCACTTCCAGTATGGGCGAAAGCACTGTTTTGCCGTTGCCATGCCTATAGAAGACACTTAGGATATAAGGGTACCCGTCACACATTATCGTTCTGCCTCCCCCTTATATTTTTACTAGTTACAAGTTGAAACGTTTTAGTATTTTTTCGTTGCCCATACCGGATACGCCTATTAGGCAGTTGGTGACGAGAGTACACAGAAAAGGTCTTTTCCGCTTACTCTCGCCCCCGACCGCCAAGTAGGCATATCCCGTATGGGCGACGATAAAATGTCAAAACGTTTCACCCTGCAAATAGTAAAAAAATAGAGGGGAGGCAAAACGAGAATGTGTGTTCGCCCATACTGGAAGTGACGACAATTCAAGATGGTTGCGCCCTTGTGAAAAAGGTCTATAAAGGGCCGTTCACGCACTTGTAACCGAGTATAACTGAGAGAGATGAGACCAGTTGAAACCTCTTAAAATTTCTTAGGACGAGAGAACACGCTGGCGCCATATATGCGGTGACCCTGGAACTGCATTTCACAAGAGTGAAGGTTTTGCAAGATTTCCGAGGTCAAATGTGCGTAATACCTATGAGAAAGGCTCATTTATAACATTGACAAAAGTTTTTCGAGCCAAGAAAGATAGGATAATGCGCGAGATAAATAGAAAATATGCCGGATCGCCAAATTTACAGTGCTACCCAATAGATGGCGACAGTGTGCCAGTTTTAAGAGGTCGCAAGAGTGTGAACGGGCCTTTACATGAGCTGAAATGTTGACACACCTTGGCTACATCACATGGCCCATGACTTAAAGGGATTATGCTAATTCAAAACATTTGGCTCCTTCAAGAGCCCCATGATAGACTCGACGCAGTTATCGCCACAATAGCCGATTATTTGGGGCTTAGCCCGAAAGATAAGCCCCCAGCGTAAACCTGGCCCAAAAGAAAAATGTGCGTACAACACTGGGAATTCTGACTGAGTGAAAACAGAGATACAGCCACAAAACAGCAGACGCCAAATGCTCGGCGAAGGTCAAAATCAGTAAAGTGCAAAGCCACAAAAAAAAAAAAAAAGAATACAACAAAATATTAGAACGACCTCTACATAAAATAAAGCGTGGATGGCCTATAGCCTGTGGAATGTGTATGCCCACGCAAATACAGGAGGATCGGGTATGTTCACCGCGTGAATAAAAGTCATAATGCCAGGATGTTCATTGATCCCGGCTTTGATAGTGTTAAACTTGTGAATAAGGTACGATTCTTTTTGTTTGCCATCTCGGTTGGTTTTGAAACCAGACTGTAAAAATGTAACTTCAAGCTTATCAAATGAATGTTTTGGCATGCTAACATGTTTTAAAAGGGGGAGTGTGGGGATTGATTTTGCATGCGCTCTGTGAACATTAAAACGGAATCGGAAAGGTGTCTCTGTCTGACCCACGTACTGCACACCGCAAGTGCTGCGTTGTAAAAGGTATACTAAATTACTGATGTCGGAATTCAAGTTGCCATACATTTTGTAGGTGAAGCTGGCGTTTGTACTTTCTATGGCGTAAGGTCAGCACGAGGCTAGCCTGCCGGCTTGCTTTTGCCTGGGGACCGCTGTCACCTCACAAGAGGTCACGTTCAAGAGCGCGCACCTTACTAATTGCATCATTTATGGTTTTTACTGGCTACCCCTGTTCTTTTAAAAGCTCGCATAATTGATTAGTTCTGGTGTCAAAATTATCGTTATTAGGACATACACGTTTAAACCTGTGAGCCTGGCTGTACGGAATACTGGTTCTGCAAGGTCGAAAGTGACAACTGTTGAAGTAATATTTCTGGCTGTTTGTTGTTCCCAGAAAGAGTTTGTTTTCTTTCTTTGTTTTTTAACTACTCCATTTTTAGGAATTTTTGTTGGCCGAGAATTTTCGAATTTCGAAAAACACGCCAAATAATGTACGAAACTTGTCAAGTTAAATTTTCACAACGATGTTCACAGCTTTTTGTATGTTTGTTTTCTTTTTACTACCCATTACGTGCGCGTGCATTGTGCACCATCCCGTTGTAAACGAGAGTGTTTTGTTTGTTTTTTCCTTTTTAGCGTGCGCTTGCGTTGCGGCAAACCATGCAACAGCCGCCAAATCGCGATGTCCATTCCGCGGCTGTCGCTTCACTGCAGTGTACCGTTGCGTGCTAAGAAGCACGCCCGAACAGACCACGAACAATGAGTCTAATTAAGTACTGCCAGTGTTTGATACGGAGTTCAAATCAAACAGTTGATTCTTCAAAAGTGACAATCAAAACTTGTGAGTTTGCACAAGCCGACCCTTACGATCCGGTAGTGTAGCGGCCGGGGTCTAAGTTATAGTAAGTTTTAGTAGTTCGTTCCGACGACTCTGACAACGATACCCGATACTCCGCCGCCGCCTCTGCGCGAGCATCGTGTCGTTATCGCGGGTATCGGAACGATCTACTAAAACTCAGTTTCAGTCACGGTGCAAGGATAGACGTGTCATGAACTAAAGCCCCTGTTTCCTGGGAAACGTGGCGCCACTCATTGTTGTGGAAATGCACGAGGACACGTGCCGCGCGCCACGCTGGGAAGAACATGGCGTCTGAAATCGAGCTCAGTGCTAGCTGTGCTGTGCCGCCATGATCTTTCCAAAGGCTGCATGTTGCACGTGCCTCGTGCATACATGCACCTTGCGTTACTTTTGAAACATGAAGGGGCTTTAATCATGTACTGCTCCGCCTCGCGCCGCGGAGCATGTATGTCGTAGGTTCGCTTCCATTTATGACAAACGCCGCGAGATGGCGCAGCATGAGAGCAGCTCGAGGAACCCCTTATAGCGAGTTCGTTTCACGGCACTCGTGCCCACGCGTGCCCACTCGCAGCGTGGAACGGGTTCGTTTCGGCCGGCACTCCACGAGTGGTTGCACTCTCCGAGTTCGTTTCAGCGCTGACACCCCACGCGTGCATGCACTCGCTGCACCGAGAAAATCGGGAGTGCGCCAAAATGCAATCCCGTCATGCCTCGCTCCGGCGGGGCCGGCGAGGAGCGGGAGCAGACGACGAGGGTTCGTCTGCTACGATGTGTCGCGAAACCGAACGGAAAAAAAAGTAGATTTTCTGATAGAAATCGCGTCCCACGGGCCACGAAATCAAACGCGAGCTTGAATTGTGAGCGTCTGCTATTTCCCGAAGGAAGCAATTGACAACCCGTGATTTATTTGCAGGTTTTAAATCGCTCTGTTGCCGCACAGACGCTGAAATATACCAATGTGTAAAGGAATGCTCAGAACAAACGTAAAAGCGGCCCCCGAGATATCTATCACCATCCGTGTGCGGCTGAAAAATTTAACATTTGTCGACAAAACTCTCTCAGCAGAAACCTCTGACTGCCCAATAAGCATCAGAGAAAGCTAAAGATGGTAACTTTACCCGAGGATTGGGCAACATCATCATGTTTAACATTTACCTACGT